CATTTTTTAAAACCCTCTTCTTCCCTCTGGTCTGAGAGGCAGGCGCTGAGGGGGCCAAGGGAACGAAGAGGCTTTTTTTTTAAATGGACAACAGAACAGCAAAGTTGGAAAGGACCTTGGAGGTCTTCTAGTCCAGTGGTGGCAAACCTATGGCACGCGTGCCAGAGGCAGCACTCAGAGCCTCTGTGGGCACATGCACCATGCCCCAGAGATTGCAACTGTCCCTCTTCAACCAGTCGCCCGCTAACTCGCCGAGGTCCCACATGGCTGGATGCATCCCAGCCCCCATGCACTCGCTGGCCTCTGTGTGCAGGGGCCGATGGTGTCAGGCAGCAGCCGCCCTGGCCCCTGCCTCGCCTCACCCTGTGACAATGGCACCCCCGCCCTGCCTCGCCTTGCCTCGCCTCACCCCCCAGGACGAGCCTCCTGCCCACCCTCCCACCTGCCAGAGACCCCCTGGATCTCCCCCAACCCTGCCCGGCCCCCACAAGTGTCCCTCCCCACGAGCAACATGGAGGTGATCACGCCCACCTTGGCCACACCCAACCCATCTGCCATGACCACCACAACCATGCCCATCCAGTGGGCCACGCCCACCTGGCACCCAGTGATAAATAAGTGGGTTTTGGGTTGCAGTTTGGCCACTCGGTCTCTAAAAGGTTCGCCCTCACTGGGCTAGTCCAACCCTTTGGAGACCCTAGATCATTTCTTGAAGGAAGAAGAGCAGAATAACAAGAGTTGGAAGGGACCTTGGAGGTCTTCCAGTCCAACCCTTTCCTCAAGCAGGAGACCCTAGTTCAGTGATGGCGAACCTTTTAGAGACCGAGGGCCCCAAAACGTCCCGCCCCCACTCCACCCCTGCCCTGCCCCTACCCCGCCCCCACCACATCCCCCACCCCGCCTGCCCGCAGGGCCACTCACCGCCTCCAGGGCCCACCACAGATAGCCCAGGCAGCCCAGCAGCGCCATGGTGGCCATGCCCTGTGCCCGCGCCCCGCAGCATCAACTGTGCGCAATGGAGCGTGAGGGCAGAGTCTTGCCTACGCTGCCTGGATGCCATGTCCTTGGCTGCGCTGCTCCGCGTGGGCCATGCTCGGGGGGCGACTCTCCTCCAGGGGGGCTGCTGGTGAGGAGGGGGTCGGGGGGAGGTGAGGCTGGGGCAACAGCACGTGTACCCACAGAGAGGGCTCCGAGTGCCGCCGCCTGGCACGCGTGCCATAGGTTCGCCACCACTGCGCTAGATCATTTCAGTCTCGTCTTGAAAACCTCCAGTGACGAGGGAGGGAGGGAAGCAGGGAGGGAGAAAAGGAAGGAAGGAAGGAAGGAAGGAAGGAAGGAAGGAAGGAAGGAAGGAATAGAGAATAGAGTAGAGCTGGTTTGCTGGAGTACAGGAGAAGAGAAAAAAAACGGGACAAGAAGCAATGGGTACAGAATACAGAATAACAAAAGTTGGAAGGGACCTTGAAGGTCTTCTAGTCCAACCCTCTGCTCAAGCAGCAGACCCCAGACCATTCCAGACAAATGGTCCTCCAATCTCTTCTTAAAAACCTCCGGTGATGGAGCATCCAAAAATTCTGGAGGCCAGCCGCTCCCCTGATGAACTGTTCTAAGCGTCAGGAAATCGCTCATTTCCAGAAAAGAAGAACCAAAAGACACCATGTCTACTTTTCCTCATTCTTTTCTTCGGGCCGGAGTCTCAAGGAACTTCCAAAGTTGGCAGGAGGAGACCCAAGTTTGAGAACGTGGCAGTTCCACATTTCAGGGTACATCGGGGCGGAAAGCTCCTTCTCAATCAATCTCTGTTTGGGGAGTTGTGAGAATCCCGCTAACTCGGCCGCAAGAGGCCAAAGTCAACGAGGAAATCTACATGCCTGATTCTTCTTACAGGGCGTTTAAAGGGTCTTTATTCTCCCGTGGGCTGGTCTCCCAGTTGAAGAGGTTAATTTGGCACAGAAGAAGCCACACCTTAATACCCCGGGCAGAAATGCCAATCCAGGTGGACTGTAGGTTTACTGTTCCCACCCGGGTCTGACTTGCTATAACCAACAAAAAAGCTCGTTTCTCCAATCCTCCAATCGATGGGGTGAAGCCACATACATCTCTTAAAAATAATAAAAAAAAAAAAATGAAAGGATCTGCAGGTACAAGGAAAAGGGTGCCCCCAATTTCTGCGGCTAAAGCAAGACAGTCGTCACGTGACTTTTGTCCCGTTTTACGACCTTTCTGCAAAGCGAATCGCTGCGCTTGGTTAAGTTAGTCGCCCGGTTGTTAAGCGAACCTGCTCCCCTCCTTGATTTCGCTCATCAGAAAGTGACAAAAGGGGATTGCAGGACCCCAGGAGACACCGTGATCGTCGTAAATATGAGTCAGTTGCCAAGCGTCTGAGTTTTGATCACGTGATGCTGCATGTGCGTGTGCGTGTGTGTTTTAAAAAAGGAGGGCTTGTTTAGAAGCTTGCAATCTCAGTTTCTCTCTGGTGTATATATGTGTGTGTGTGTTAAAAAAAGGAGGGCTTGTTTAGAAACTTGCAGTCTCAGTTTCTGGTCTCTGTGTGTGTGTCTCTGTGTGTGTGTGTTAAAAAAGGAGGGCTTGCTTGTTTAAAAACTTGCAATCTCAGTTTCTCTCTAGTGTATATGTGTGTGTGTGTGTGTGTGTGTGTGTGTGTGTGTGTGTTAAAAAAAGAGGGCTTGCTTGTTTAGAAACTTGCAATCTCAGTTTCTCAATGCTGCATGGAACTATTTAAAGCTGGCTCAGAAGGAAAAACCAGAGGTAACAATTGTTTTGGAGCCCAGGGAGAATACTGCCTCCCCCCCCCCCCCCAACGTGAAATACCGGGCAATAATAACCATTTTATTCCAGACAAAGCTTCATTTCCCTTTCCTACCAACTTGCAAAATGTAAAATAAAATAAAATAAAAAACCCCAAATAGCTCTCTTGGCTCTGCCAGCTTCTGGACGAACAACCTTGAAATGTCTCCGGAAGGACAAACTAATTTGGAGGAATAAATCACATTATTCACCTCCAGCCCTTTCAAGTTAAAACATTTGTCTCAGATTTGATTAAGAAAAAAAGCGATCCGCTGGTGAACACGGTAAAAAGGCAGCAGATTTTTTTTTCTTCCCCTTCTTCTAATATTAATTAGAGGAAAAAAGCTCTCCAGCCAACAATATAATTTAGCCCGGAGACTTCAAATCACCTGCAGAGTCATGCTGACGGAAAAGGAAGTTCAATTTGATCAAAGCTTTGGGCCTGGACTCCGCGCCGTAGTACGTGTAATTTGTACGTCTAGGTGTAATTTGGGAAACTTTACTCTTTCATCTGACCTTTCACTTTCCTAAGTAATAATCCTTTGTGAGACAGGAGAAGGGGTTTGCGGAGAAAGGATGCTGGACTGTTGGAGGCGAATTCCAAAATTGTAGAAATAAAACAAAACCTAAAGCACAAAATATAGCACCGGTAGTCCTCAGCGTACAACCGCAAGGGAGCCCAACCAGGCATTTCCGAAGTGAGCCTTGCCCCATTTTTACGACTTTTCTCTTCACCGTTGTTAAGTATCACTGCTGCAGTCCACAGGTTAGCAACCCGGTCGTTAAGCGAATCGGCTCCCCCATGGATTTAGCTTGGCAAAGTCACGTGACCTTGGGACAGCCAGCAACGGTCATAAATATGAACCAACCCTTTCTGTTAAGTGAATCACTGCACTTGTTAACTTAGCCACCCGGTTGTTAAGCGAACCTGCTTAACACACACACACACACAGACACACACACATACCAGAGAAAAACTGAGATTGCAAGCTTCTAAACAAGCAAGCTCTCTTTTTTAACACACACACATACACATACCAGAGAGAAGCTGAGATTGCAAGCTTCTAAATAAGCAAGCCCTCTTTTTTAACACACACACACCCACACCCACACATACACACACACATACACACATACACTAAGCAATTTTGATCACACGACCATGGGGATGCGGCGAAGGTTGTAAGTGTGAAAAATGATCCTAAGTCACTTCTCCCAGTGCTGTTGTAACTTTGAATGGTCACTAAATAAAACTGTTGAAAGTTGAGGACTACCTGAATTGGGTGGTAAGGTACCTGGCTTAGAAACACTAACGGTGAGAGGGACCTTGGAGTCCTAGTGGACGGTCACTTAAACACGAGCCAGCCGTGTGTGGCAGCCTCCAAAAAAGCTAATACAATCCTTGGTTGTATAAACAGAGGCATAGGATCAAGATCACCCGAAGTCTTAGTACCACTTTATAAAGCCTTAGTAAGGCCACACCTGGAATGAAGCATCCAGTTTTGGTCGCCACGATGTCAAAAAGATGTTGAGTCTCTGGAAAGAGTGCAGAGAAGAGCAACAAAGATGATCAGGGGACTGGAGGCTAAAACATATAAGGAACAGTTGCTGGAATTGGGTATGTCTAGTTTAATGAAGAGAAGGATGAGGGGGGGCATGATAGCAGTCTTTCAATATCTCAGGGGCTACCCCAAAGAAGAGGGGGGGTCAACCTATTCTCCAAAGCACCTGAAGGCAGACAAGAAACCATGGATGGAAACTAATCAGGGAGAGAAGCAACCTAGAACTATCCTGACAGTGAGAACAATTAATCAGTGGAATAACTTGTCTCCAGAAGTTGTGGGTGTTCCATCACTGGAGGTTTATAAGAAGGGATTGGACAACCATTTTGGATGGTATTGAATCTCCTGCTTGAGCAGGGGTTTGGGCTAGAAGACCTCCAGAGTCCCTTCCAACTGTGATTCTATGGATTGTCTCCAGAACTTGCAACTGCTTCATCAATGGAGATTTTAAAGAAGAGATTGGACAACCATTTGTCTGAAATGGTATAGGGTTTCCTGCTTGAGCACTATTTGGAGGAGAAGATCTCCAGGGTCCCTTCCAATTGTGTCATTCTGTCATTCTGTTGTTGCAAGAACCTTTTTTTTATTTTTTATGTTGCAGATCCAGCTGGGGAGAAGAAAGACAGCATGGTGGATTCCTGGATACTCTCCTGACTGATCTACACGGCAAAGGGTGGAGTGGAGTCCTTCCCAGGCAGAGAACATGGGTGAGTCTGGGCAGCTTTGTGTTGAGTTGGCGAAGGCCAGTGGCTGGAAGGACAGATGTTGGATTTGTGTGCTGTGAAAAGCATCTTTCTTCTGAGCCTCTGGGCTGGCAGCTGGTTGGCACCGAGGGTTTGGAAGACGAGACCAATCTGAGGTCAGGCCCCGTGCCCATCTTAGCTCAACAGGGAAGGCACAGAGCTGTTCTGCCATGTTGCCAGATCCAACATCTACAGTTGGCCAACGTCTTCGTTCCCACCCTGCAAAAATATCGCCAAGTAATCAGAAGGTTGCAAATTGTGTTCGGGGAAGGCAAACGAAATGGGGAAAGAGAAGATGTTCAGCGAAGATTCAGCTCTTTTTTTCCCCTCTTCCTTCCCCCTTCCCCCCCCCCAAATGAACATCTTTCGTCAGATGGAGTCATCCTAGCTAGCTTCCCTTCTGCATGTAAAAGGAAGTGTGTGTGTGTGTGTGTGTGTGTGTAATTCTGTAAGGTAAGAGACAAAGCTTAAAATTTCCCAGGAAGAAGATTGAGAAATAGATATTGTACAACGGATGGCTTGGAATTCTGTGTCCGGTTCTGCTCACCAAGAGACCCAACAGAGGATGAGATTCTAGAACAGTGGTTCTCAACCTGTGGGTCGGGACCCCATTTGGGGTCAAACGACCATTTCACGGGGGTCGCCAAACAACGCAGTCCACCATTTTCTTTTCCCCTTTTCCTTAGCTGTGCTACTCCCTTTTATTCTATTGGCTTTTGAAAGCCAATAGAATAGACTCTCTTGAATAGACTCTCTTGAAAAGGTCTTCTAGCCCGCCAAAAGTCCCATTCTGCAAATGGGGCTGCATCAGTTGAGTAGTCCTCGACTTACGACCGGTTGGGGGTCGCGGCATTAAAAAGGTTGAGAACCACTAGTCTAGAAAGAGCATAGAGAAAAGCAACAAAGGGGTCTTCTACTACTTGAGGGAAGAAGAGGGGGTTGACCAATTCTCCAAAGCATGTCCCAAGGTGCCGTCTGCAAGCTGGTTTCATTTTGCCCCGTCTTGACCTGAAAGAATCCACCGGTTCCAAGCTACCTTTGGATGCTCTGCGGTCTTTAACCGCCAGCTATGATTAGCCTCTTGAGATCTGTAATCTGCCGTAAGGTTCTGCCTTGAAGACCATTTGCTAAATTAAGCCTTCAAGGTTGAGCGACTTGAGCCTTCTGAATTGAATTTCTTCATTCAAGTAAGGGCCAAGATAGGATAGCTAGAGATGGGCTTGTCAAAGGCCCCAGGTGCAAGATCTCGGCTTCTCCACACCAAAAGATCTAAGGCAGCCTATCAATGGATCAAACCCAAATCTTACCTAGCCTGCACAGAATACCCAGAGCCATTTCTTGATGCCTAACTTGGCTGGCTGGCTGGCTTGCCAAGAGAGTGAAATTTCACCTTACTCCCTGGGGAGAATTTGAATCCAGATCAGGCTGCAACTGAGGCTGGCTGGACAGCTCTCCTACTCTCCTTCATCCCTTTTGATGCATACTCAGAGATGCTGAACTTTTGAGGAAAAACACCCCCCTGGATTCCTTCTCCTCCTTTTTCCTTCTTTCCTCCTCCTCCTCTTCCTCCTCTCCCTTTCCACAGACCCTCTTCCCTTCTAGCACTGATGTTGTGTGTCTCTGTCTCTCCTCTCTCTCTCTTCTCTCCTTTCTCTCTGTCTGTCTGTCTCTGTCTCTCCTCTCTCTTTCTCTCTCTTTCTTTCTCTCCTCTCTCTTCTCTCTCCCCTCTCTCTCTGTTTCTGTCTCTGCCTTCCAGCTCTATTGAGATTGATTGATTGATCGAAATGGTCTAGGGTCTCCTGCTTGAGCAGGGGGTTAGACTAGAAGGCCTCCAAGGTCCCTTCCAGCTCTATTGAGATTGATTGATTGAATTCAAGCTATACGGCGGCATGCTCCAAACGTCAGCTAGGAGCTCCTACAATTCAGAGAGTAAAGGTGGGCTCACAGGTAATCTGTTCCCCATTGTCCTAAGTCCCCTCCCTAATCAACCGATGGAACAGTTTGCCTTCAGATGTTGTGGGAGCTTCAACACTGAAAGCTTCCAAGAAGAGACCGGACTGCCATCTGTCAGAAATGGTATAGGGTCTCCTGCTTGGACAGAGGGCTGGACTAGATGACCTCCCAGGTCCCTTCCAGCTCTGCCATTCTATTCCAGCCCAGATCTTTGACGATCGGGGCCATGAAAACAGAGACACACGAAGAAGATTGCCATTTCAACGGATCAACAGTTTACTGATGGATTTTTCAAGGTTGTTTCTTCCTGCAAACCGATTTTTGTTTTTATTTTTATTTAACCAGTAAAGCGAGCTGGTGTTTGGGGGGACAGTTGACTGACAATTACAGCTCTCTGAGCTCGCAGAGAGCCCGAGAAAGACATAATTATAGTTCTGGACCAACCAAACACCCATGGAAAGTTTAGTCTTGGCTCTGCCAGAAATAACGAAGCAAAGTAAAAAAAAAAAAAAAAGGGAGCAGGAAAGCCCAAAATTAAATCAGGCAGAACAAGAAGCTACTTATTAAGTCCCACTACAAGAGGCTCTGAAAAAACTCGCCGCAACACATTGCAGGGGACAGAGAAGCAGCTGTGCCTTCCCAGCTCTGCTTAACTTCAAATTTTGAAGGATATTTTTCTTTGAGTTTAAAAAAAAAAAACCAACACCCCAAACCTGGAGAGCCCTACACCCGCTTACTCTCAGCCAAAGCTAGCTTTGATTCTTAAAATTGAGAATTGTTGCATTTTTTTTTTTTAACCAAGGGAGGGTCCTCAGATGCCCTCAGTCCCAACCCACGAGCACGTCTTGCATCCAGGTCTTGCTGAAATATATCCCAACCGGTTGGGTTCCAAGAATTAGAAAGGGAACTGGTAAAATCGTTCCCTGGTTGGCAGAGAAATAATAATCTCTGAGTTTTCTAATTCACTGGAGACTTGGGTGGGATTTTTGGGCACCTCCCAAAGATAAAATCTAAGAAGATGATGGAGGAACTGGCCTGCTTTACCTGGAGCGTGCCTTCAGAAATCGTGGGCGCTCCATCCCCGGAGGTTTTTAAGAAGAGACTGGACAGTCATTTGTCTGAGATCGTATACGTTCTCTTGCTTGAGCAGAGGGTTGGACTAGAAGACCTCCAAGGTCCCTTCCAGCTCTATTCTATTTTTTATTCCTTCCTTCCCTTCCTTCCTTCCTTCCTTCCTTCCTTCCTTCCTTCCTTCCTTCCTTCCTTCCTTCCTTCCTTCCTTCCTTCCTTCCTTCCTTCCTTCCTTCCTTCCTTCCTGTGGAACAGCTTGCCTCCATAAATCATGGATGCTCCATCACTGGAGGTTTTTAAGAAGAGACTGGACAGTCATTTGTCTGAGATGGTTTAGGTTCTCCTGCTTGAGCGGGGGGCTGGACTAGAAGACCTCCAAGGTCCCTTCCAGCTTCTATTCTATTCCAGCTTCTAGAGAGGCTGACACACAGTTGTGTGTTTGCTTCTTGATGATTGTAATTCAAGCAGAGAACTCGGGAAGGATATTTCTTTAGCGTGCAGTAAGACACACACACACGCACACGCACACACACACACATTGTCGTGTGCATAAAAATGCTTTTTATAAGATAAGGGTTGCTGTAATTTCACCGTCCCCCCCCAGTAAGATGGACCGACTGGAATTTCGATTTCGGTTATTTCTATTTCAGTTCAAATAAAACCAAACATCCTTGACCAACCTTTGCAACAGAACCGTTCAGTAAAAAGGAATGATAGACCTATAGAGTGACAGGGTTGGATGGGACCTCGGAGGTCTTCTAGTCCAACCCTAGGCCTAGAGTCCATTTCAGACAAATGGGTTTCTTGAAAAACCTCCAGTGATGGACTCACGGGAGTCTTCTCCAGCACCAGAGTTCAAAGGCCTCCATTCTTTGGCGCTCAGCCTTTCTTAGGGTCCAGCTTTCACAGCCATACATTGCAACTGGGAAAACCACGGCCTTGATAATCTTTCCATTCCCCACCATCCGGTCAGAGTTGAAGAAGCTTCTGGGATGAGAAGCGAAACGTCTTCGAAGAAAAAGAAATAAGTCCATTTCTTCTTGATAGTTCCCTGCCAGAAGCTTGTACGTCTTTGTGGCTCCAGTTTATTCATCCACGGAACACAGCTCCGGCGATTCACCCCTGCTCAATTTTTTAATCAATTGGAAACCAAAGCGGACCTTCTCTCCACCTGGCGAAAGAGAAGCACCTTGGAAGACTCCCCAAAGCAAACTTTGTCTTGAGGGGGGTGGGCCTCCTGGCTTTTCGGTGGCCTGGGGAACAAAGGCCCCGAGTGTCCTGGGAAAGAATGCCAAACATTTGACATCAAACAGTGGCCGAGATTTAAACACGTCACGGCTGTGTCATTTCTCAAAATGACAAATGTTGATGTTTCAGGAGGCACCAGAGCTGGGAATGGACCGAAAGGAACAAACCCCACTTTGATCTTCCTGGCTTTCTCGCTCATCACTAATCTGGGGTTCATTTCATGGGACGACATTCGCCCGTGGAGCGGATCCATTTGTGAACATGACAGAGCAGTAGAGATATTCCTTAACACTTCCTCCTCCGTGGAAGAAGGAATCCATGGCCCATCGGACAGCCCATCCCGAATCTGGAATTTGTCGGGGAAGGAAAAGACGCTGATTTACACCTCGAATGCAGAGAGTCCCCCACTTTACAATACTTCACTTAGTGACTGTTTGAAGTTGCAAAAAGTGACTTGCGACCGTTTTTCACCGTTGCGGGTCACATGATCAAAATTCAGAGGCTGGGCAACTGACTCCTATTTACGATCCCCATGAAGACGCAATCCCCTTTTGCGAGAAGCGAAGTCAACGGGGAAGCCAAATTTACTCAACAACCATGTTACTCATTTAACAAGCGTAGTGTGTCACTTAACAACTGGGGCAAGACAGGCCGTGTAATGGGGGCAAAACTCACTTTTCTTGGCGATGGAGCAGCCACAACTTCTGAAGGCAAGCCGTTCCATTGATTAATTGTTCAAAATTGTCCGGAAGTTTCTCCTTAGTTCTAGGTTGCTTCTCTCCTTGGTGAGTTTCCATCCGTTGCTTCTTGTCCTGCCTTCAGGCTCTTTGGAGAATAGCTTGACTCCTTCTTCTTTGGGGCAGCCCCTGAGATTTTGGAACACCCCTGGTCCTTCTCTTCGTTAAACTAGACATACCCAATTCCTGCAACCGTTCCTTATATGTTTTAGCCTCCAGTCCCCTGACCATCTTTGTTGCTCTTCTCTGCACTCTTTCCAGAGTCTCAACATCTTTTTTATAAAGCACGTCTGAACTCCATTCATCCCGGGAGCCGTTTCTGAAGAACTTGTCCTGTACCTTTGCGATCAAATGAGATGACCTTTTTTTAGCGTTGGCCTGTAATTTGGTGGACTCTTATTTCTGAGGTATGTTTATGAGCTCAGAGACTTTTTCGAGCAAATGCTGGAGAGGCCAGCTTGCCCAGGAGAATTCAGATGTGACTGGGGGAGGGGGGGCAGGTGTGTGCGTTTGAGCGGGTCTTAGAAAATATAAACGCACAAGAGGGAATTGTGTTTGTCGTGTCGAGGGTATAGAATTTCATTTTCTTTCCTTAAAAAAAAAAAAAAGGGGACGATCTGGTGGGAGAGGACTGGATTCATCCTCGCAGAGATCAAATGTGCCCGAAAGTTTAGTCTCACTTCTAAAAGGATAGTAAAAAAATGATCAGGAGTGCAAAGTGGCTTTCTAGGGAAGAGAGACAAAAGGGATTGAGTTCCTTCTGCTTATAAAAAGAGGTGGTAGAGTAACATTTCGTATTTTAAAAAAAGAAAGAAGGTGGATGTCTTTAGGAAAAAATGAATTGCTCTAGCCTTATGTTTGCAGCAAAGAATAATTTGAATGACACTTTTCTGCCTGCTCACCTGTGGACAGGCTATCTACTCAATTTGTTTATCTACCCCTCTGTCTGTCCATCCATCCATCTATTCTTTTTCTCTATCATCTATTTTCTACCACCCATCATCTATTCCACTCAACTTTTCTTTCTTTCTATCTATCATTTATCTATCCATCCATCCATCCATCCATCCTCTGTCCGTCTATCCCTCTATCTATCTATCTATCTATCTATCTATCTATCTATCTATCTATCTATCTATCTACCTACCTACCTACCTACCTACCTACCTACCTACCTACCTACCTACACACTCAACTTGTCTATCAGTCCATCCATCCATCCATCCAATTTATGTATATACATCTCTCTCTCATCTACCTACCTACCCATCTATTCTATACACTTGTCTGTCTGTTTGTCTGTCTCTATCTATCTGTCTGTCTATGTATCTGTCTGTGTGTCTCTATCTGTCTGTCCGTCCATCCTTATCTATCTATCTATCTACCTACCTACCTACCTACACTCAACTTGTCTACCTGTCCATCCATCCATCCATCCATCCATCCATCCATCCATCCATCCATCCATCCATCCAATTTATGTATGTACATCTCTCTCATCTACCTACCTACCCATCTATTCTATACACTCGTCTGTCTGTCTGTCTATCTCCGTCCATCTGTCCATCTATCTATCTATCTATCTATCTATCTATCTATCTATCTATCTATCTATCTATCTATCTATCTACCTACCTACCTACCTACCTACCTACCTACCTACCTACCTACCTACCTACCTATCTACTATTCACAAATCACAATAGGGCCAACTTTGGTGTCACCTCCAGCGTCCCTTCATCCCTTCTCCGATGCCAGCCTTGGGCCGGAGGAGGACCTTCCACATTCTTCTCCTCCCCTCCCCCCTTCTGCCCCCTCCCTTTTTTCCACGGTGGGGCATCTGCACCTTCGCAAGGTGGAAGGAGAGCCAAACGAGGAAGGAAAGATCTGGCCCTTCCTTGCCCAGCCTGCCATTTGGAGTGGAGGCTGAGCTTCTGGCTTTGGGGGAGTCCTTCGTGGAAGCAAGCTTAATGCTCATTAGTTTGGAAAGCGCTCAGAAACCAGACACCTGGTTCCCGAAGTTGTTTTTGTTTTTTTTAAAGTCCCTGCAGCTATTTAAAAGCAACAGGAGGCACCAGAGAAAGAATTTTTTTTCTCGCGCTCAGCTGCAGATCCATCCTCTTCCTTCACCCGTTCTCTGCGTCTGATTTTTTTTTTTTCCTTTTCCTTCCAGCATCTTCGTCTCGTGGGGGTGAAGCTACCTTTACCCATCCAGACAGGGGAATCGGTCCAAAATTTTGCTATCTTTTTAGCTCAGAAGTTGAGAAAAAAAAAGAGAACCATCTTTTCTAGAAGAAAACTGCAAGAGATTTTTCTTTACTTTTTTAAAAAAGGGTCTGTTTGCAGAGAGACTCCTTCTTCATCTTAACCTGGATGTAGGGTAAGTACCAGTATATCCACGATCCCAAATTCCTCTTTCCGCGTGGCTTTACGTTTAAAAATCTAAATTTACATCGGAACGATGCTTAGAGCTCTAAGAAAGAAAGCTCCTTAGCCGATTCATTGAAATCCATTCTATTTTATTTTATTTATTTTTTCGGCTAGGATGAACGTTTGTGTTTTAAACTTGAACTGCAAATGATGTTTGTTGCAAATGAATTTCTGTTTGTTTGTTTTTTTTTTCAAAATTTTGATTTTTGGGGAGGTTAGCTTTTCTTTTAAAGATCTGGCAAAACACTTCCATGGGCACCAGGGGGAGATGGTAAATATTATTTTTAGTAGCTATTTTGCTACTAAAGGGGAGGAAGAGTTTTTTTTTTTTCTAATGGGATGGGAGCGTGGAATCCCGGTCTGATTGAATTAATAAATCATTTTGGAGATTGTCATTGCAATGTTTAAAATATCTAGCTGGGATAACCATCGAGTTGGTTTTACTACCCTGTTTTATTTATAAACTGAATTTGAGAAAGCACAGACACCTACCTATCCTTTTTTTATTTTAGATAGCTGGAAAGAAGGGCGGAATATCTGCCCAAGTTCAGGGCAGTAGGGAGAATGTGACCAAGTCATCACTTAATATCCCCATTCAAGACTTTTTGCCTGCAGTTTGAGGGGGGAAAACCTGGTGCTCTCTCTTTTTGATCATTTAGCAACTTCTATTCCAGGAGAGGGAAAAAAAAAAGGCATGGAAAGATGGAAACCGAGTGTTTATATTGGCTTGAGCCGTTCTCTGGGATTAGGCTGTAAATTCTCATGGGGACTAGCAGCTTTTCCATCCGATGGGCGACATTTAAGAATTTCTAGAAAGTCATTCTCTGTTCCAAACCCTTTCTTTTTCAGTTAGGCGTGTAAATTAAGTAGAGAATACCTTTTCAATGAACTTCACCTCTATTATCTGCCGATTAGCGTTCCCGATCATCCATATGAGACTAAACCTCAAGGAAATATTAAGGACTGGAACCTTGGTTACCTTTCACTTAACCCATTTTTTTTTTTAAAAAAAGAGTTGGGTCAGTCTGTTGCAGCAATGCCACGAAAACCAGACTGAAGGAACACAATTTATTTTACCAGATTTATACGCCTAACTCCAGGTTGGTGACCCCAGAGACTTACGGCCAGTTAAACCCCAATATCCAAAGGTGCTGAAGTTAAAAACAAAGAAAGTCTAGTTGTCTTTTTTTGGGGGGGGGAAAGCACCTTTGGGACAACCTGGATGACTGAGAATCTCCACAGACATTTAAATCCCCAGGAATGATCCCAACACCCCTTTTTGTGGGTGCTAGGAAAAAAAAAAAACCACCTCCCTTTAATTGAACAGATGCAATTAATTTTTTTTTTGCAAGCCAGAAAGATGATTCGATTCGGTTCAAGCAGGCTTCTTCGCCTTGGATTTTTTTTTTTTCCAAGGGTTTAATTTAATTTCCTGGCCCCCTTTTTGTCATCCTTCACCCCTCCCAACTTTGCCAAGGGGGGGGGAAGACAAAAAAAAACCACTTTTATTCGATTGTAGCTTCCCAACCAGACCACCAGAGGGCAGCACCGACCGGCTGGCTGCGGAGCGCTCCGACCAGCGCTTTTTTTTTTTTTAAACCCTGTTTTTTTTTTTTTTAATTCCTTTTTCTCCGTTTCTTTTCCTCCTCTCTCCCCTTTCCTTTCCTATCCTTCCCTCTTTCCCCCACCAGACGCGGCTTTCCTTTGGGGCGGAAGAGCCGCCTCGCTTAGAGCCGCTAGAAACCCCCCCCATTTCTGGAATCCCCCCTTCCCCTCCTCCCCCCCCAAAGACCCCTCCCCGGGACCAAATTTGCAAACGCCAGGTCCGAGCTGAGCCTCGCGAACCGAAACCTCCTTTTATTGCTGCTGCTTTCTGGGGTTTTTTTTTTTTTTGCAAAAGGCGTTCCAGCAGGAGAAGGAGCCACGCTGCTGTTGGGGCGGCGGGGGTCCCCCCCTGCCTGCCTGGGTGGGTGGGCGAGCATGGAGCCCCCCGGCTGCCCAAGTAGCCTTCTTCTCTCTCCCCCCCTTTGCTGCCCCCCAAGGCACCCGCCAGCGGAGACTTAAATGGGAAGAGGCGCAAACTTCCAGCAGCCAGGATTCCTCCGGAGACGGGAGCGCAGCGTCGGCTGAGCCCGGGAGAAGACTTTCCGAGCGGGCTGCTGGCGTTTCAGCCCCTCGGGGAGACGGGTGGGGTGGGGGGAGCCGGCTGGAGCGGAAGATGCACCCCCGGGCCAGCTTTCCGAGGCTTCGCCGCGAAAGAGCCATGCACTGAGAACGGGATGACGCTGGAACCGAGGCCGGTTGCCTTCAGACTCAAAGCCGCCGCGCTAAGGGGGTGAGCTGGGGCAAGGCAAAAGGGGGTGGGGGGGAGAGCTGCTGTCGGGGAGGGGCCGTCCTCTGGGTCCTGGGGGAAGGGGGGGGAGGCCGTCCAGATGTGGGAGCAGGCCTGGAAGGAGCCCGGCGAAGAAAGGGGAAGGCATGTTCAAGGCAAAGTGGGGGGGGGGGGAGGAGAGAAAGGAGGAGGAGAAGGAGAAAGTTTGAAGTGGAAGAAAGTGAGGTTGTTTTTGAAAGAAAGGAAGGAAGAAAGAAAGAAGAAAGAGAAAGAAAGAAAGAGGAAGAAAGAAAGAAAGAAAGAAAGAAAGAAAGAAAGAAAGAAAGGAAGGGATTCCCCTCCTCCTGAAGATGCCTTAAAAGGTGGCCCGAATATAAGGGGCTGAAGTCCCACCTTTGAAGAAAGGGGGGGGGGAGAAAGGCAACTGGGAGGAAAGGGTGGGGGGCACTGGCATTCCCCAGGAGAGTTGCTTTATTCCTAAAACTTTGAAGTCCACGGCTGCCCGCTTTTCCCAAGGGGGCCCTGGGGAGCGCCCGAGGCAAGGAGAGCATCCAGCCCCAGAGGTGCTCAGGAAAAACCCATTCAAGTCCTTTGCACTCATTCATTGCTCCGTCCCTGTTGGGAGGAGGAGGAGGAGGAGGAGGAGGAGGGGGAGGAAGAGAGAGCATTTCCCAGAGCAAGAGAGGAAAGACACGTGGTCCCTCCAGCTCCCTCCCTCTTCCTCCTCCCTCTCTCCTTCCCTCCTTCCCTCTGGCTCTGCCCCAGGCTTCCCCTGGAGCCCAAGGGGTTAAGTGAGTTGGCTTGCCCTCCGTCTGTCAGAGGCGATCACACTTTGCAGATGCTCCCTTGGTGGAATGCTGGCTGGCTGGCGGGGGGGGGGGGGGGGGGGGTGGGGAGGATGAAGAGGAGAAGAAGAAGGAGGAAAAGAAGTTAGATAAATAGCCAAGAGGAGGAGGAGAAAAAGATAGATAAATAGAAGATAGAGAAGATAATGAAAAGAGGAGGAGGGGAAGATAGATAAATAGAAGATAGAGGAGAAGGAGAAGAAGATGAAAAGTAGAGGAGGAGAAAGGAGGAGAAGATGATAGATGAAAAGAGAAGGAGACGAAGATAGATAAGTAGAAGATAAAGGAAGAGAAGATGAAAAATGGAGGAGTAGGAGGAGAAAGGAGGAGGAGAAGGAGAAGATAGATAAATGGAAGATAGAAGAGGAGGAGATGAAAAGTAGAGGAGGAGGAGAAAGGAGGAGGAGGAGGAGAAGACATGAAAAGAGGAGGAGGAGACAGATAAATAGAAAGATAGAGGAGGAGGAGAAAGAGGAGGAGAAGGAGAAGACCGATAGATGAAAAGAAGATGGAAGAGGAGGAGGAGGTCCACCCATGCCTGCCAGCTGTGCATTCTGGTGGATGGGATGGACCTGTGAAGGCATCTGGACGTGGAAAGGGGAGGGTCTTAGCTGTGCTGAGGTGGGAGCCCTCCCTCCCAAAGGCCCACCCAGCCCTCTCCTGCCAAGAGCCCCATCCCCAGTTCCTCCTGGCTGAAAGATGACTAGGCAATAGGATGATCTTCCAAGACTCGGTCAAGGAGAAGAAGTCCCTAAAAGTGGGACATCCCTTTGGTGGCCTGGCCATCCCCCAACTTCCATCTGGGGAGGCATTGGCTGGGCATCAAGAGCGGGATGGAGGCTCTTGATGCCTGGGCTTTGAGGGCTGGATGACTCCTTAGCCTTGGCCCGCCGGCCTGTTCCACCACTGCTGTTGGTCCTTAGCCCAGGTCCTCAGACCTCGCCTGCTTGCTCTCTTCCGTGCAGGCCCAGCAAGGCGTTGAAAAGACCAAGGGTCTTCTGGACTCACCTGGAACAGGGGTCCAGGTGTGTGCGGGTGCAGGCACTGCCTCCCTGCAGGTCGATGATGCTGCAGACATCTGTGACTTTCTGCCTCTTTTCATTTTTCCGTAAATGGATCTCTGTGGAGTGAAAAGGGATGCTGAATCCTTCGCTCTCTTTTCTCCTGATGTTTCTAAACAAATCAAATGTTTGTTTAGGTATCAGTGAGTGCTGGGCCTTGATCAATATGGGACAGTAGCAGAGAGATTCCTTCCTTCCTTCCTTCCTTCCTTCCTTCCTTCCTTCCTTCCTTCCTTCCTTCTTTCTTTTCTTTCCTTCTTTCCTTTCCTTCTTTTCCTTCCTTCCTTCCTTCCTTCCTTCCTTCCTTCCTTCCTTTCTTTCTTTCTTTCCTTCTTTCCTTCTTTTCTTTCCTTCCTTCCTTTCTTCCTTTCCTTTGTCTCATTCCTGTCCCCCTTCCTCCCTTCTTTCTTCCTTCCTTCCTTTCTTCCTTCTTTCCTTCCATTCCTTTCATTCCTGTCTCCCTCCCTCCCTCCCTCCCTCCCTCCCTTCCTTCCTTGCATTCCTTCCTCCCATTCCTTTCCCTCCCTCCTTTCCTTCCTTCCTTCGCTTCCTCCTTTCCTCCTTTCCTCCCTCCCTCCCTCTTCCTCATATTCCTTCCTCTCATTCCTGTCTCCTTCCCTCCCTCCCTCCCTCCTTTCCTCCCTTCCTTTTATCCTAGGTCTCCTCTTCAGAGTCCTTCTAAAGCCAGACGGCCTCCAGCCTCTGACCTCTGCTCTCCTCTTTGAACCCCCCACCCAGTTTTCACCCCACCCTGAACCAGAAGCTCCACCCAGTTTCGCAGGAAAGGTGCCCCTCTGCAATTTATCCTCCAAACTCTCTGCATTCAGGGATGTGTTTATTTTTGCATGGGGGGGGGTCAGGCAACCCATCCTTCCTGTGTTTCCAATTTTGCAAAGCCTAAAACAGGAAAGGGAGACGGGGTGGATGATCCCGGCATCTCTCCTCGCCTAATTGCTACTTCGCTTACACATTTCTCTGGGTCTTGTTTTGCAACCCAGTGATTTGCATTCAAGTCAGTTGCTGCACGAGAGAGAGAGAGAGAGAGAGAGAGAGAGAGAGAGAGAGAGAGAGAGAGAGAGAGAGAGAAAAGGGGGCATATGCTTAAATAAACCAGTATAGGGACTCCACTTTTTAGGCTAATAGGATGTCAGGAACAACCCTCAAAATTTGTAGAAGTCTCTAAAAGGGCTGTGAGGATCGCAGAACGGCTGATGGGAGTTTCTGAATATGACACAGACTGATTTCTTTTAGGACAGAAGAAGAAGAGTGGTAGAATAGAATAGAATAGAATATGGAATATGGAACAGAATAGAATAGAATAGAATAGAATAGAATAGAATATAGAATAGAATAGAATAGAATAGAATAGAATAGAATAGAATAGAATAGAAGATGGAATAGAATAGAATAGAATAGAATAGAAGATGGAATAGAATAGAATAGAAGAGAAGATGGAATAGAAGATGGAATAGAATACAAAATAAAATGGAATAGAAGAATAGAATGGAATGGAATAGAATAGAATAGAATAGGAACAGAACAGAATAATAGAGTTGGAAGGGACCTTTTGGGTCATCTAGCCAATCCCCTACCCTACATCATTTTTGACAAGAAGAAAAGGGATCTCATAACACATCCTTTAAGAAGGCCCAACACCCTGGTTGAAACCATCCACCATTATCCTTTCATGCTGTAAAACAATATTCCGGCTGTCACGTCTTTGTTTTTCTTGGTTTTATTATGTTCCCCGATTCTGTTGGGAAAAGAAATCAGGAATTGATTGATCATGTTTCTCCTTTTTTAACATATTTTTAAAATCTTTTCCCTTTAGGGGGTTCCCTTTTCTCTGGACGGTTTTTTGTCTGACTTGCTTCCTTGGATTCACGCGTGGAAACCGTGAAGGTAATTTTTTTCCCCCATCTCTTTGGGTCTCCCGTCTTCACGTCTTCTGGGGAAGGGTGGCTGGTTAGCCTCCGTGCTGCCAATCCCAGAACGGCAGAGTGGAGAAAAAGGTTGGAGGAAGGATTGTGCTGAATCGCTCATTCTGCGCGTAAAGTAGAGGCGACGTTGGTCCAGATGTTGGGCTGGAGAAACCCAAGTTGAAATTCACCCTCAACCGTAGGAAGTCCCTTGGTGGATTTCTCTTACTGGGGAACATAGACTAGAATAGAGCTGGAAGGGCCCCCTGTTCAAGAAGTGTCTCCATGGAAGTGTCCTTTTGCTTCTGGAACAACAACAACAACAACAACAAAACACAGATGGAAGAGAACCTAAACAGTGGAAAAGGAAGAAGCAGCTATGACCCACAAAGGTAAAGGACGCTGTAGATCGGGATCACAAGCAATGTTAATATTTCTGCCCAGAAGGGGGAACTTGGAAGGCCCTTTTTTGGGATCCCATGCCATAGGCCTTAATCTGCTACCGTTTCCAAGAAAAGGGGTTGCTATAGCCCAATCCGAGAAAGTAATATACACCCACAAATGAAGGCGAATCCACGTGTCGCAGGATAACGTTGCAATATCCAATCTGGGTCGGTCACCAGGACCGGAAGGTTTTGTCTTCCGAGCTTTCGGACTCGTGCTGGAGCCCATCCTCAGAAACTTCTCTCTCTCCAGAATGTCTGTCTGTCTGTCTGTCTGACTGACTGACTGTCCGTCCGTCCATCTGTCCGACTGACTGTTGGTCTGTCTGTCTAAGTTTGTCTGTCTGTCTCTGACTGACTGTCCGACTTTGTCTGACTTTGTCTGTCTGACTTTGTCTGACTGTTTGTCTGTCCGACTGTCTGTCTGACTTACTGACAGACTGTCTGACTGACAGACTGTCTGACTGATTGACTGTCTGTCTTTGTCTGACTGACTGACTGTTTGTCTGTCTGACTGTCCGTCTGTCTGTCCGTCTGACTGACTGTCTGACTGTCCGTCCGTCTGACTGTCCGTCCGTCTGACTGTCCGTCCGTCTGACTGTCTGTCTGTCCGTCTGACTGTCTGACTCTGTCTGTTTGTCTGTTGGACTGTTTGTCTGACTGTCTCTGACTGTCTGTCTGACTGTCTGTCTGACTGACTGACAGTCCGTCTGTCCGTCCATCCATCCATCCATCCATCCATCTCTAGCAGAATGTCTGTCTTCTCGAATGAAAAAAAAAGGCCCAAGAGACTTCAGTTGCCTTTTGGAAGAAAAAAAAAAAAGCACCTTTGGCACCACCACGACCTGGAATGATTGAGACTCTCCGTAGACATGAAGCCTTGCCAAGATTTTCCACTCAACCAACAGCAATGCCCGATGTGTTTTGTCCATCGGTGGCATTTCCCTGGAGGAACGGGGAGCATGCCAAGGAAACATTTGATTCTGCCTTCTTTCAAAGGTCATTCCGTGGGCCCGGTTGGGAACAGAGAACAAAAAAAACCCCAAAAACCCACGGATGATGGGGCCGGCTTCCATTGTCCGATTTTTCCTTCCAGAGCAAGTCTTGAGTTCGTGTCCTTCAAAGGTTTCTGATCCCTGGAGACGGTGACCGGAATCAAATGTGAACGTGGCTGGATTTTAGAATAGAATAGAGCTGGAAGGGACCTTGGAGGTCATCTAGTCCAACCCCCTGCTCGGGCAGGAAACCCTATAGCATATCAGACAAATTTCTTCTTAAAACCTCCAGTGTTGGAGCCTTCACCGCTTCTGGAGGCAGGTGGTTCCACTAATCAATTGTCCTCACTGTCAGGAAATTTCTCCTTTGTTCCAGGTTGCTTCTCTCCTTGGTTAGTTTCCATCCGTTGCTTCTAGTCCTGTCTCCTGGCTTTTTGGAGAATAGGTTGACCCCTTCTTCTTGAGAAGAGACCCCGGGTGATAGATTGAGCCCTGAGATCTTTCCCATTGAAGGACGGCCAAAAGGGATCACGAAGCCACAGCCACAGCTTAGGCATCTGTTTATTGGCAACCACCTCGTTTCTCCTAAAGTAGCAAAATCCCTTCCCTCTGAAGGGTTCCCGTTGCCAGCAAACAGGATGCAGGAATTTTTTTGAGAGTCCCCAGCCTGCTGGAGGTGAAAGTTCTTGCTTAGAGTAGGCTGGAGGAGATGGGGGCTTTAGGAGAGACCCTCCCTTGAATCGTGAATTTGGGTGGTGAACAATTCTTGAGTTCCCATCTCATGGACGCTGGCTGGTCATCCAGAGTTGTGGAACTCCCAATGGACAAGACTCCCTTCCTGGTATAGCTGGGTCAAGCCAAGTTAGGAAAGGGTGTTGGGTTCCCAAATCCCACGTGCCAAACCAGTGTTCCAGGACAGTGGCTTAAGAGGCTGCCACAGGGAAGAGGGGGTCAAGCTATTCTCCAAAGCCCCTGAAGGCAGGACAAGAAGCAACGGATGGAAACTAATCAAGGAGAGAAGCAATTTTAGAACTAAGGAGAAATTTCCTGGCAGTTAGAACAATTAACCAATGGAACAACCTGCCTCAAGAAGTTGTGGATGCTCCAATGCTGGAGGTTTTTCAGAACAGACTGGACAGCCATTTGTCTGAAATGGTATAGGGTTTTCTGTCTGAGCAGGGGATTGGACTAGAAGACCTTCAAGGTCCCTTCCAACTCTTCTCTTCTCTTCTACTCTACTCTACTCTACTCTACTCTACTCTACTCTACTCTACTCTACCATGAGGACAATTAACCAGGGTTGCCTTCAGAAGTTTGTGGACACTCCATCACTGGAGGCTTTCAAGAAGAGCCATTTGTCCGAAACTGTATAGAGTTTCCTGCTTGAGCAGAGGGGTTTGACTAGAGGACCTCCAAGGTCCCTTCCAGCTCTCTCATCTAAGCGCCTAGCAGGCTTAGCTTCCCTTTGAAATCAATCACCTCTAAGATTGGTGGAGTGGACCTCTGATGTCAGCATCCTGAATATTTTGACCACCAGATATTGGGATCAATGAGAGCCAGTCCCTTGAGAAGTTGGCTGAGAGGTTCTTTGGCTGTGCAGAATCCAAATTAGCAGAACCTTGAACAACAAAAATAATATTGTCCAGCCTAGACAAATCGTACTTTCTCTTTGGAATATATCTGTGATTTTTTCCCACCCCCTTCTCGGCTAGGATGCTTGGAAGGAGAAGAAAGCTTGAAACGCGCACAGCCGTTGCTCCTTTAATTTTTTTGGGCCGAAGAGATTGGGGTGGGAGAGCCTAATTGTCTTTCTGCAATTCGCAATATCCCAACAGGCTGGCCAAAAATTTGAGATCTTGACTCCCGTTGGCCCGAGGAGATGAAAACCATCAGTTCTCTTGGAGTTGGCCGTCCTTTTCATTCATTCTTGCTTCTCTTCCTCCCCCCCCCCCTAAGGATGGGAAAAATCCAGGAGATTGTATCAGAGGGAAGGAAGAAAAAAAAATGTTCCACAGGCTGAAATATTTTGGAAAGACTCCTTGAAAATTCCCTTGTGTCAATTTTTAGTTTCACTTCAGGACCACAGCGCTGCTGGCTAAGGCCAGCTCCGTTAATCCGTAGCCACCAAGGATGAGTTTGGATCACAGTTTTGAGGTGCCACGTCAGAAGAGTGGATGGTTTACAAAGAGGGTAACGAGAATTGTCTACGGAGATGCTCAGTCATCCAAGTCATGGTTGTCCCAAAGGTGCTCCCCCCCCCAAAAGAAGGCAACTGGACTTTATTTTTCCCTTGAATGGGTTGAAAGGGTATGTCAGAACTGAAGAAGCTTCTTGGACGAGAAGTGAAACGTCTTCAAGGACAGTCAGAAGCTTCTTGGACTAGAAGCAAAACATCTTCGAGGAAAAACAAAGTCCAGTGGTCTTTTTTTTGGGGGGGGGGGAAGAAGGGAGCAATATCTGGTTTTAGTAACAAGCAAACAAAGCCGCAAGGGATGAGAACAGGGAAGGAAATGGGACCTGCTCTTAATTTTGTTTTGAATTGTCTGTGTAACTCCTCTTTTCCTCCTTCTTCTTCCAGATGTGGACGTCCTTCAGAGGTTGGGCCTGGTGGGACCAAGGACCTTGGACCTGTCACACTCTGTTCCTCAGGGAGTTGCTCCCTTCACGTTGGGAGTCATCCTCACCCAGCAGGCACGAGTCGAAGTGCCCTTCAGCTCAGTTATTCCCTTCCCCGTCAGCGCGGACCTGACCGTTATGTTAAGTGTGTGTTCCCTCCGGGTCAACAGCGCTTTCCTATTCACCGTCAAGAGCAGAAGGAAGAAATTGCAGCTGGGCGTCCAGTTCCTTCCCGGGAAGGTTGTCGTCTACGTCGGTCACAAGCGCTCCGTCTACTTCGATTACGACGTCCACGACGGGCGGTGGCACAACTTCGCGATTGACATCCGAAGCAAAACGGTCACCTTAGTCACCTCCTGCGGGAAAGAAAGGGTACAGGCGGATTTGCGTCGTAAAAAAAGCAAGGCCTTGGACCCGGCGGGATCATTCCTCTTGGGAAGACTCAACCAGCGCTCGGTCCAGTTTGAAGGTGCCCTTTGCCAGTTTGATATTTATCTGTCGACCAAGGCAGCTCATGATTACTGCAAGTATCTGAAAAGACAATGCAGACAATTGGATGCCGTTCGGCCGGACCTCCTGCCTTTTACTCTGGGGCTGTCCAAAGATCTGAGAACTTTTGAAATGACACCAAAGCAGGTAGACCTCGCAGCGATGGGCTTGACGAACTTGACCACTGTGCACCCTCCCACAAGGGTCTTCAAGACCTCCGCTTCGCAGAGGGATAGGAGGTTTCAGCTAGCATCTAGCACTGTTCGAGCTCCTAAAGCACCATCGGCAGCACCAACCGCGAAGATGAGGTCCACCGTGGCATTGACAATCCCAGAAGTGTCGCAACCCCTCCGTGATCTCCAACAGATCGCCACAGTGGCACGTCCGATGTCTCACCGGCCTACTGCCAGGGTTTTAGATGGGCCTCACGCAGCTTCCGGCGTGAAGAAGCCTCTTTGGTCACCCCGCCCTGAGGTCCTGGCCTTCCCAAACTCGACGGTGAGCTTTGCCCTGGTTCCAGACAAGCAAGCACCCCAAAAGTATCCGGGTAGCCAAGGACCCACCATCAGGTCCTCTCAGACACCAGACACCACGAAGCCAACGACGAAGAACCGAAGGAACTCGTCAAGTAGCCGTTCTCCAGCCACCACAAAGCGCAGGTGGGAAAAAGTCACCAGTGGCCCCACCCCGAAGGAGGTTGGGATCCAGCCAACAATGAAGAAACCCAGTCCCACCATGGCTACTGTCTTCTACACCAAACCAGCCCTTGGAGAGGCTTACCCTGTTTATGAAACACACGGACACAACTCAGATTTCATCACGCTGGCTGCTGCAGATGGCTTTCAGGACTTCAACCCCGTGGGCCCCACCTTATTTCCCTTCGTTATTGGACTTCCTGGGTGGAAAGGAGATCCAGGACCCCCGGTGAGTCCATTTTCTTTCAGTTATTGCTGCGGGCTGTGAATTATGGGGTTTTGTAATCTCAAGATGCTTAGAGTGCAGCAGGATGAGGAACGCTGATCGAAGCCAACTTTGGTGACAAGATGTCACGCAAGGCATTCAGGAATCGTGGGCGCTCCATCACTGGAGGTTTTTAAGGAGAGACTTGGACAGTCACTTGTCTGAAATGGTTTAGGTTCTCCTGCTTGAGCAGGGGGCTGGACTAGAAGACCTCCAAGGTCCCTCCCAGCTCTATTCTATTCTATTCTATTCTATTCTATTCTATTCTATTCTTCTGTATTTCTATTCTATTCTATTCTATTCTATTCTATTCTATTCTATTCTATTCTATTCTATTCTATTCTATTCTATTCTATTCTATTCTATTCCATTCCATTCCATTCTATTCTATTCTATTCTATTCTATTCCATTCCATTCTATTCATCTTCTTATCACTCTTCCCTGCAGCTGTCTTCTAGGTCTCTCCTCTTAAAAGCCACATACCAGCCTTCTTAAAAGCATGAACAGCTTGAGGGACCCAAAGGTGCGACTGGACTTTCTTTGTTTTTAGAATAGAATACAGTTGGAAGGGACCTTGAAGGTCTTCTAGTCCAGCCCCCTGCTCAAGCAGGAGAACCTATACTATTTCAGACAAGTGACTGTCCAGTCGCTTCTTAAAAACTTCAAGTGATGGAGCACCCATGATTTCTGGAGGCAAACTGTTAATTGTCCTCACTGTTAGGAGGTTTCTCCTTAATTCCAGGTTGCTTCTCTCCTTGATTAGTTTCCATCCATTGTTACTTCTCTTGCCTTCTGGTGCTTTGGAAAACAAGTTGACCCCCTCCTCTTCTTTGTGGCAGCCCCTCAGATATTGGAAGACTGCTATCATGTCTCCCCTAGTCCTTTTTTTTTTCATTAAACTAGAGATACCCAATTACAGCAACCGTTCTGCATATGTTTTAGCCTCCAGGCCTTGGATCCTCTTAATTGCTCTTCTCTGAACCTTTTCCAAACTCTCAACATCCTTTTTGCGATACGGTGACCCAATTTGGCTGCAGTATTCCAGGTGTGGCCTTACGAGGGTTTTGTAAAGCGCTACTAATACTTCGCCTGATCTTGATTCTTACACCTCTGTTTATACAACCCAGGATTGTGTTAGCTTTTTTTTTTTTTGGCCGCTGCTGCACACGGCTTGAAGACGTTGCGCTTCTCCTCCCAGAAGCTTCTTCAGTTCTGTAGGAAGCTTCTTGGGTGAGAAGCCAAACATCCTTAAGGAAACTAAAAAATAAAGTCCTGTCGCCTCTTGGAAAAAGCCCCTTGGGGACAACCATGACTTGGATGACTGAGAGTCTCCATCGACATCAACATTGCTTGAGGGTCTACCTCCAACCCAACCTGAACGAACCTGAGTCAATTTGGAGACTGTCTCCCTTGATTTGTGAAGCTTGGCTTGGCTCCTGATGCAAAGTGGAGCTGGAGGGAGAATGCCTGGCCCTTGGCTTATGAGTCATGCATGGGGTTTTGGACATGAATGATGCTGATTTGTCCGGTCTGTGGAACATCTCCATTGCGTGTCAGCTAGCCAGCTTTCCCATAGCGTTGACCTCTTGGGTATGAAGGGAGCACAGCGGTAAACGAAAGATTTGGAGTCAGCTTCTTTGACCCTGGGTGATGACTAATCGGGAAGACACTCTTGGTCTTTCTGTAGCACTTTGTTGGATGCAGGACCGGTTCTTGAGAAACTTCACTGCCTAACATTCATTCAGCCAGACAAGAGGGTTTTCAGGATGGAAGCTGCTGATAATGAATGGTTCCCTGGCTGACTAAGGGCTCTGGAATGGCCTCCACGCGCTTCTGGCAAGCCGTGTCAGAAGAAACGCTCCTCTCCCAATCTTGCGTGGTCTACCTCATCGGCCATCTCGGCAGTGTTGAACTTTCTGCTCATTTTGAAAGCAGGAAGTAGCCGAGGGAAGGGAATCTTTTGATAAGGGGGAAAAAAAAAAGCGAATGAATTCAAAAAGGACTTTGCCGTTGAGCCTTTGACCTTCCAGATGTTGTTCAGAGTCCCAGCATACTTCCTCTTTGGCTGCTGCTGCTGCTGCTGCTGCTACGTCTTGCAGTTTGACAACTTCTGGAAGGCTGCGGTGGTTCTCAGAAAGCGCAGTCCGACGATGATGCCCCCATCTCAATGTCCTCCTCTCCGCCCTGCCTTCTGAACAACTGAGTTGGATCAGAAGCTAGTAAATGGAGGAGAAGTTCTCTTGTCATTTTCTCTTAACCGTCTAAAGGGAAAGTTCGTAGGGCTTTGCAAAGGTTCCCTTGGTCCCTAAAACTGGACTCTCGCTTAGATGTCACGCTAAATCATCATATGATTTATTCGGTTACCGGGGGGTGGGTTCTTTTCTGCGTCCATCCTTTTGGGGGATGGACATTGCAGCTGATTGCTTGTTCCCAAAAGGTCCTTGGTGCTCTCTGTGCTTGGTTGTTTTCTTGCAGACGTTTCATTACCTAACCAGGTAACACCATCAGTGCTAGAAGGGAGTGGAGTTTTCAGGAAGGGAGGGAGGGAGGGAGGGGGAGGAGGAGGTGGTGGTGGTGATGGTGGAGGAGGACTATGGGGTCCTTGGTGCTCTCTGAGCTTGGTTGTTTTATTGCAGACATTTCATTACCTAACCAGGTAACATCATCAGTGCTAGAAGGGAGGGGAGTTTGAAGGAAGGAAGGAAGGAAGGAAGGAAGGAAGGAAGGAAGGAAGGGGAGGAGAAGGAGGAGGAGGACTATGGGGTCCTTAGTGCTCTCTGACCTTGGTGATTTTCTTGCAGACGTTTCATTACCCAATTAGATAACATCATCAGTGCTAGAAGGGAGTGGAGTTTGAAGGAAGAAAGGAAGGAAAGAAGGAAAGAAGGAAGGAAGGAGAGAAGAAGGAGGAGGACAGTGGGGTCCTTGGTGCTCTCTGAGCTTGGTGGTTTTCTTGCAGACGTTTCATTGCCCAACTAGGTTTTGATGTTGTGCATGAATGCAGTTCTCGTCTCCCTCCTTCTCCTCTTCCTTTGGGGCCTTTTCCTCCAAGGAGACTTTGGTGAGTCAAGCTGACTCACCCCTCTTACAATGCCCCCAGCTTCTGCCAGCCGCCCTGCCGATGGGTTTTGCAATGCAAATGGTTAAGCCAGAGATGTCCAACCTTGGCACCTTTTAAGACCCCGTGGACCTCAACTCCAAGAACAGAGGAGTTGAGGTCCACACATATTTCCCCCTCCCTCCCCCTCACGTGAACCCATAAGGATTAAACCAAGAGCAGGGACTGGAATTTCCACTCTGGATCTGCAGGACATTTGTATTCTGCTTCTGGGGTTTGGCTCGGAGGCTGGTCCATCAAGGACAGCTAATTATATTCCTGCTCAGAAATAGGAACACAGAGTCACTGGCTGCAAAGCAAACATTTACGGGGTCCATCTCCAAACCAGCAAAATGGCTTTAAATTCCTGCAATTCACAGGAGGCATAGTTGAGTCTTGGCTGCTTGTCATCACACTAGTCAGTAGGGTAGGCCCGTTGTTGGCGTGTCCAGCAAACAGAAGAGCTGATTCTTTGACCTGATTGGCGTCCAGGCAGTTAGGAAATAGAGCAGCTGGGATGATAGACAGACGAAATCTCTTTAGCCTGTGCGGGCGTGTGGAGCTGACCGCAGAATTCAAAGCCTCTTCGGTCAACCAGAATAGAGCTTGGAGGTCTTCTAGTCCAGCCCCCTGCTCAAGCAGGAGACCCTATTCCATTTCAGACAGGTGGCTGTCCAGTCTCTTGTTCAAAGCCTCCAGTGATGGAGCGCCCACAATTTCTGGAGGCCAGCTATTCCACTGATTAATTGTCCTCACTGTTAGGAAATTACTCCTTAATTCCAGGTTGCTTCTCTCTCTTTGATTAGCTTCCATCCGTTGTTTCTTGTCTTGCCTTCTGGTGCTTTGGAAAATAAGCTGACCCCCTCCTCTTCTTTGTGGCAGCCCCTCAAATGCTGGAACTTTTGCAACTTTCCGACGAGCAAAATCAGTGGGGGAAGGCAGATTCACTTAACAACCATGCGGCTAACTTAACAACTGCAGTGGCTTACTTAACAGCTGTGGCAAGACAGGTCATAAAACAGGGCAAAGTCCACTTAAGAACTGTTCTCGTGTGGCAGCAGCAATTTTGGGCTCAGCTGCGATTGTATGTCGAGGTCCCAAAGATGCTTTTTTTCCACAAGGCGACTGGACTTTCTTGTTTTTTCTTTGAAGACGTTTCTCTCCTCATCCCAGAAGCTTCTTCAGCTCTGACTGGATGGTGGGGAATGGAAGGATTTATGCTCCTTGCAGTCTGCTGGTCATTTGCCTTCATTTAGAGAGTCGTTGAGGCCACTTGGAGATTTACCCACAGTGAAGGGACCCAGGGCAGAAAACATCCTGCAGCCAAGGAGGCTAGACACCCATTTGCACCACTCAGGGGACCCTGAGGACACAGAGAAGCCTCCAAATGGCCTCAACGACCATCTAAAGGGATGCAAATGACAAGCTGTCTGCAAGGAGTATACTGTAAATCCTTCCATCCTCCACCCTCCAGTCAGAGCTGAAGAAGCTTCTGTGATGAGAAGGGAAATGTCTTCAAAGAATAATAAGAAAGTCCCATGAGGACACAGGTAAACCTCCAAGTGGCCTCAACGACCCTCTAAAAGGATGAAAATGACCAGCTGTCTGCAAGGAGTATAAATCCTTCCATTCCCCACCATCCAGTCAGAGCTGAAGAAGCTTCTGTGATGAGAAGGGAAACGTCTTCAAAGAATAATAAGAAAGTCCCATGAGGACACAGGTAAACCTGCAAGTGGCCTCAACGACCCTCTAAAAGAAGGCAAATGACCAACTGTCTGCAAGGAGTATAAATCCTTCCATCTTCCACCCTCCAGTCAGAGCTGAAGAAGCTTCTGGGATGAGAAGGGAAACGTCTTCAAAGAAAAACCAAGAAAGTCCAGTGAAAAAAACACCTTTGGGATAACCAGGACCCGGGTGTCCGAGCATCTCCACAGACCTCATAAGTCGAGGATTACCTGTGCTGAGTTTAGCTAAGCCCATTTGTAAATTTTGGCCTCCCGCGCACCTGGCCTCTTGAAGATTCCTACCCCGTTCGGAATTAAGTTCCGCTTTTGGTAAAAATTGCTCGGCCTCTCCGGAGATGTTAGAGTCAGCTTCCAAGCATTCTTGAGCCTTCTGCTTTCTCTCACCCTGCCTCCTCTCTTACTAAGGGAAAAATACCATCATTCAGAATGAGCTACTTGCTCATCAATCTTCCAAGAGACACCTTCGTTTATTCTCCCCTCCGGAGGCTGCCAAAAAAGTAGAGGAGAAAAATTCGAGAATAATTAAGGCTCCCGTAGTTTTTTTTTCTTTTTTCTTTTCTTTTTTTGGACAGTTCCGCTGCAGCTGGAAAGCCTAAATCTGAAGAATTTAACCTCGGACAAGCCGTAACCTCTTCAGATGTGTACATTTTTTTAAATCTAGCCTTAAACTGCTCCCTAAGCTGGCCAGATGGATAGCTGGGCGATCACGTCACCGGGAGATGGATTTATCCCTTCAGCAGGGCAAATCTTGAAAGGGTCAGCTCTGCTTGTCCGCATTTTCCCCGTCTGCTTTCTAAAGCAGAGGGTGGGGACAATTTTGGGTAGGAGAGCAATGTATACAACCCAGAGGAAAAATTTTACTGGAAGTGGAGCGTTTCCAATTCCTCTTTGGCTTTCCACCAACGCAGGGAATTGCATTTAGGAGTGCTTGCACACTAGAGGTTCACTCGAAACATGGAGACAGTGGTGCAAGGAAGAATACAGTTGGAAGGGACCTTGAAGGTCTTCTAGTCCAGCCCTCTGCTCAAGCAGGAGAACCTATACCACCCCAGACAAGTGACTGTCCAGTCTCTTCTTAAAAACCTCCAGTGATGGAGCGCCCACGATTTCTGGAGGCAACTTCTGTTCCACTGGTTAATTGTCCTCCCTGTCAGGAAGTAACTCCTTAATTCCAGGTTGCTTCTGTCCTTGGTTAGTTTCCATCCATTGTTTCTTGTCCTGCCCTCTGGTGCTTTGGTGAATAACGTGACCCCCTCTTCTTTGTGGCAGCCCCTCAAATACTGGAATATTGCTGTCATGTCTTTCCTGTTTCTTCTTTTCTTTAGACTAGCCAAACCCAAGTCCCGCAGCTGTTCTTCGTGTGTTTTAGTTCTCCAGGCCTTGGATCATCTCAGTTGCTCTTCTCTGTACTTTTTCCAAAGTCTCGGCATCTTTTTTTGTAGTATGGAGACATTACAGAAGGAGTTGTGTGGTGCCAGGCAGTCATTTTCAGATGCCAAAGTGGTGATGCTAGTGGAACAAAATCATTTTAGGATGGGTGAGAACCCTCATGAAATAGGAGACCAGTTAGGTCTAGTCTAACAAAAGAGAAGGACTAGGGGGCGATATGATAGCTGTCTTCCAATACTTGAGGTCTCAAAGAAGAAGGGAGTCCACCTAGTCTCCAAAGCACCAGAGGGCAGGACAAGAAGCAACGGATGGAAACTAATCAAGGAGAGAAGCAACCTGGAACTAAGGAGGAATTTCCTGATAGCGAGAACAATTAATCAGTGGAAGGGCTTGCCTCCAGAAGTTGTGGATGCTTCAACACTGGAGGTGTTCAAGTGTCTGAAATGGTATAGGGTCTCCTGCTAGAGCAGGGGGCTGGACTAGAAGACCTCCAAGGTCCCTTCCAGCTCTGTTATATTCTGTAAGGGCTGAAGAAGACCGTCAAAGGCCCAGCTTTCCCTCCAAGCTCTGACTAGGATGAGCTTGGTGAGATCAGCTTGCTGAACGAGAAAATTCAGCTCCAGGGCCAGGTCTTTTGGTTGTCGTATTTTTGGTTTTAACATCTTTTTTAATCGTATATATACTGTATATATAGATGGGGTTCTATCTCTTGGTTGTGAACGGCCCAGAGCTTGGCACAAGGTGGGTTGCTGTGGAAGTGTTTCAAACAGATAAATAAGGCTGCCCTTTGTGGCAGCTTCAGCCAATCCCAGGATTTCTGTGCTGCAGCAGCGATGTGATTCTCCTTGCCAAACGGTGAAGGGGTGATGTAGTTTCCCTTGACAAGGACCTTGATGTTGGCTGGTAGCTTCAAGGTGTAATCCTGGGGAAGACATGTCTGTTTTAATGAGCCTGTTTTAACCCTAAGCAAATTTATTTTCTTCCTTCCTTCCTTCCTTCCTTCCTTCCTTCCTTCCTTCCTTCCTTCCTTCCATCTTGTCTTACTCCCATCTCCTTCCTTCCTTTCTTCAATCTTCTCTCGCTCCCTCCCATCTCCTTCCTTCTTCCTTCCTCCTTTTCTTCCTTCCTTCCTCCCTTCCTTCCTTCCTTCCTTCCATCTTCTCTCACTCCCATCTCCTTCCTTTCTTCCATCTTCTCTTGCTCCCTCCCATCTCCTTCCTTCTTCCTTCCTCCTTTTCTTCCTTCCTTCCTTCCTTCCTTCCTTCCATCTCACTCCCATCTCCTTCCTTCCTTTCTTCAATCTTCTCTCGCTCCCTCCCATCTCCTTCCTTCTTCCTTCCTCCTTTTCTTCCTTCCTTCCTCCCTTCCTTCCTTCCTTCCTTCCATCTTCTCTCACTCCCATCTCCTTCCTTTCTTCCATCTTCTCTTGCTCCCTCCCATCTCCTTCCTTCTTCCTTCCTCCTTTTCTTCCTTCCTTCCTTCCTTCCTTCCTTCCTTCCTCTCACTCCCATCTCCTTCCTTCCTTTCTTCCATCTTCTCTTGCTCCCTCCCATCTCCTTCCTTCCTTCCTTCCTTCCTTCCTTCCTTCCTTCCTTCCTTCCTTCCTTCCTTCTTTCTTTCTTTCTTTCTTTCTTTCTTTCTTCTTTCCTAGGGTGCTCCTGGTTTACCTGGGATCCTGGGCCTTCCCGGCAAGCGAGGACCACGGGTAAGTCCAAGATCCACGGGAAATGGAGGGGGGGGAAGGGGAGATGGGATCAAGAGGCCTCGGAGCTTCACATCTGCCCGTCAGCCTGCATGTGTTGAGGTTCCCCGGTTTCAGAAAATAGGGCCGATGTCTCAAGGTTGCTGCAAGCTCATCCCATCTTCATCCAGACTTTGCACCTTTTTTTCTAGGGACCTCTCGGCCCTCATGGAAACCCTGGCCGGCCTGGGCCACCTGGTGCAAAGGTAAGGGAGAAAACATCTCTCTCTCTCTCTCTCTCTCTCTCCCTCTCTCTCTCTCTCTCTCTCTCTCTCCCTCCCTCCCTCCCTCTCCCTCCCTCCCTCCCTCCCTCCCTCTCTCTCTCTCTCTCTCTCTCTCTCTCTCTCTCTCTCTCTCTTGTACATCTGAGTATCTGCTAACGAAGAGGAAAGGTTTATGTGTGGGAGGTGTAAAAATAGAAGTGGGGAGTTACTGCCTGCTTCTCTGCTTCCACAAGACACTTCTGAGGAGGTCCGTACAAGAGATGAACCATCTAGCTATGGATTTGGCAGGTTCTCCATCTCTGGAAGTTCTTAGAAGGTTGGTCAACTGCACAAGACAATGAGGTCAACGCGTTTTCCTGCACATTAATAATAATAATAATAAAGTTGGAAGGGACCTTGGAGGTCATCTAGTCCAATCCCCTGCTCAGGCAGGAAACCCTACATTATTTCAGACAAATGGCTGTCCAGTTTCTTCTTAAAAACTTCCAGTGTTGGAGCATTCACCACTTCTGGAGGCAAGTTGTTCCACTGGTTAATTGTTCTAACTGTCTGGAAGTTTCTCCTTAGTTCTAGGTTGCTTCTCTCCTTGGTCAGTTTCCATCCGTTGCTTCTTGTCCTGTGCTTTGGAGAACAGCTTGACTCCCTCTTCTTTGGGGCAACCCCTGGGATATAGGAAGACTGCCATCATGTCCCCCCTCGTCCTTCTCTTCATTAAACTAGACATACCCAATTCCAGCATCCGTTCCTGATATGCTTTAGCCTCCAGTCCCCCGATCATCTTTGATGCTCTTCTCTGCACTCTTTCTAGAGCGCAACAGCACTGAAAAAAGTGACTTATAATAGTTTTTCACACTTACGACCATTGGACAGGATCAGTCTAGGTGACCCTTAGGGGCACATCCAATTCTGGAATTTGTTCCAGAACAGCTGAGCAGGCAGCTAAGTAGAAGAACGTGCACATTTGGGACAAAGGGAAGGGACTCCACAGCGTTTGTTCTAGCTTCTTTCCTTCCTTTTCGGTTCCCAGCCCTTTTCTTCCTCTCCTCCTAGCCATTGCGGAGTCTTCAGCGCCTCTTGATGATTTTTTGGAAGAAAACAAAGGATTTTCACTTATCTGGCTCTTCACAGGCTGCCTGATTAAGAATTAGGCACTAGAGAGAGATGTTGGCAGGCCCCCCCAAACAAACACACAAACAAAACCGTGCGGCATTTAAAGGCAAAGTTACAAAGTCTGACCGTTGAGAAAATAAAAGGGAAAAAACACACACCCAGATCATGTTTTCGCCTGCAGTTGTTTATTTTTATTTTTATATTATTATTATTATTATTATTATTATCATTATTATTACTACTACTATCATTATCAATATTATCATATCATCTTCATCATCATTCTCTCGCTCTCTCTCTCATTCTCTCTCTCTCTCTGTCCATCTATCCGTCCATCTCTCTCTCTCTCTCTGTCCATCTATCTATTTCTGTCTGTCTGTCTGTCTGTCTCTGTCTATCTGTCTATCTATCTATCTATCTATCTATCTATCTATCTATCTATCTATCTATCTATCTATCTATCTAATCCTCTTGCTTTCTCTTTGCACTGTTTCTAGACTTTCTCCACCTCTTGTTGAGACCAAAACTGGATGCAGTACATATTCCAAGCGTGGCCTTACCCAGGCAGACTTGGAATACTGGATCCAGTTTCAGGGGGATCCCTGGGGATCCCTGCGTATCTGGATTGGTTTTGCAAACGCCCTTCCCTCTCCACCTCTGAACTTTTGCTTGCTGTTCCTGGAAGCGGCCCAGCCAGCAATTTGGTGCTGCTGAAGGCAGCCCAGCCTTTGATAATAGCTGCGGAGTGGAGTGGAATTATCAGCACGACTCCGTTGAACGCTTGGACCGGTGAACGCTTGGACCGGCTGACCACTTTCATTCAGAAATTGGGCAGTCATGTCTGGGCTGAATCCTCTGGGTTCTTGGCTGTCTCTGGCCAAGAATTTCCCACATCTGACCGATCTCCACTTGGCCTGGATTTGTGTGTGTGTGTGTGTGTGTGTGTGTGTGTGCGTGCGTGCGTGCGTGCATGTAGGACTACTTAAGAATGGGATGCGCTGATAGAAATGGGAGAATACAGGGAAGGGAAGGAGCTACAACGGAAATGTGCAAATTAATACAGGAATTCCTCAACTTCCAATGGTTCAGAGTTACAGCGGCCCTGGAAAAAAGTGATTTACGACAGTGAAGACTATTAACCAGTGGAAGGGCTTGCCTTCAGAAGTTGTGGGTGCTCCATCACTGGAGGTATTTAAGAGACTGGACAGTCACTTGTCTGAAATGAAAAAAAGATGTTGAGACTCTAGAAAGAGTACAGAGAAGAGCAACAAAGATGATTAGGGGACTGGAGGCTAAAACATATAAGGAACGGTTGCTAGAATTGGGTATGTCTAGTTTAACGAAGAGAAGGACGAGGGGGGACAGGATAGCAGTATTCCAATATCTCAGGGGCTGCCATAAAGAAGAGGGAATCAAGCTATTTTCCAAAGCACCTGAAGGCAGGACAAGGAGCAACGGGTGGAAACTAATCAAGGAGAGAAGCAACCTAGAAACTTCCTGACAGTGAGAACAATTAACCAGTGGAACAACCTTCCTCCAGAAGCAGTAAATGCTCCAACACTGGAAGTTTTTAAGAAGAGACTGGACAGCCATTTGTCTGAAATGGTGTAGGGTTTCCTGCCTGAGCAGGGGGTTGGACTAGATGACCTCCAAGGTCCCTTCCAACTTTACTACTATTACTACTAAACCTCCAAGGTCCCTTCCAGCTCTATTCTGATAGTGACTGGACAGGATCCAGGAATTGTGTGGTTATTCCTGAAGTTAGGAGCTGAAACTGAGTCGTGGGTTTCTTGAGTTCATGTGAGCCCCCCAATTAAACAGACTTTATATCGAATTGCGACCCAAGACAGCTGAAGCCTGTGGGCCTCTATAGGAGCTTCAAATGCAAGAGAAGAATGCCTTGGGGGGCAAGGCCACCCGAAGACATGAGGACCACTCAGCTGCAGAAGCTATCTGCAGAAAAAGGAATCCAAAATAGCAATCATACACATCTTTTAATCTCTCACCCTTCACTAAATACAGTATGTTCTCCTGGAATCATGAGGACCAGTTTAGTCTGATGGCCAAGACCTTGGACCAGCAACTGAAGACCTGAGTTTTAGTTGTGCTTTTTGAATAGCAGAGCCAGAATGTGTGAGCCTTTCTCTCTACTCTAGGAAATAAGTAGGGAAGGTCATAAGACTTCGTAAGAAAGTTACTAGAGTATTGCATGGATCTGACCTCGTAGTTGGCAGGAAACGAGTCTGATTCAAAGTCAAAAAAAAAAAAAAAGCATGGAGTCATCAACAGAACATTGGCACAGCTATAAAGGATCCTACAATTAGATGAACACACGACCCTTTGGGTCACGTGGTCTAAAGTAAACTACAACGACAAAGTTAACTACTAAAACATGCTTGACTCAATTTAGGCTTGCTACAGTCTTATTTCATCGCTCCACGTTGCAGAAGGCAACCCATCTCTGCTTTGTTGCCAAGAAAACTTGATCGGTCCATGAAGTCGCCAGGACTTTATTTGATAGATGGTATGGGTTTTTTTAGCTAAACAAAGAGAGGCAGAGAAAGCAGGAAAAAAAAGAATCTTCCCAAGTATAGGGGAAAGCTGGATTATGCACTGGGCATAATTGGCACTAGACCCGGAAAGACCTGGAAAGCTTCCAAAGGCCTATTTAGAAGTTTTAAGTGTTCAAAATTTACATTATGGAGCTCTGTGATTATATTATGGGGTCTGATGTAGGAGAAGAGCAGGCAGAACTGGGGCGGAGTTAAGCACATCAGTAGCTGAGTCATAACGTTGCCACAAATGATCCATCTCCTCTTGAATTCCATTGACTCTTATCTGGCGCCAATTTAGCATTTGAACTTCAGCTGGCTAGATTCTTGCGTAGAAGCTTGAGCAATCGGTCTTCTGAACTGCAACTTCGCGTATGGTACTGACACCTATTGCAAATATTTAAGTGTGGAGCTGTCTCGGAAGCAAACCGTGAGAAGGAATCCAACTGGAGTCCAACGTTGGTAGAGGAACCAGGCAAGCCAACATCTTTGAGCCCAAAAGATTGCTTCTCTGTCTCTTTCTGCCTTTGTCTCCTCTTGAGGGAATGAAGACGGAACGGATGCTGATGGTTGACCTAGGATAGAAGCTGGGCTTCTTGCTAACCTGTGTCAATTTGCTAACATTGGATGTTCTTGCGTTGACATTGGTCTTCTGTATGTCTTTAGATGGTTGATTCTTTCCCGTAATGATAAACAAGCTAAGAGATATTCACGCCCTCTTCCCAGAAGCCACCATAGGCCCTACAACTCATTTGCTCAAACTTGGTTTACTAACTGAAGGTCGACGTTTTCAAGAATACCTCCCCGTTGTTCAAGTTCTCTTGGCGGCTGTCCTCATCTCTTGCAATATTTTGCGTTCTTTTGTACCGGCGCTAAATTTTGTTCTCTGTTTTCAGGGCCAGAAAGGGGATCCTGGATCATCACCTGGGAAAGCATGGCACGGTCAAAAGGTAAAGTGGCACTCAGTCTCGTGTTAAGGCTGGTTACACTGTGGTGCCCAGTGCGCTGTGTCGTGAGGATTTTGCATTTTCCCCACTTCTCAGTAGGCTAGGAAATGTCAGAAATATTTATGGTACTTAACTTGATTTATCTGCTGATGGACTGTTCTCCAGTCCTCGGTGGATGCGCAAGGAGATTCTGCTTCTTTTCTGACCTTCTGAATGTGCCAGAAAAGAGGAGAAGGTCCTTGGCAATTGTAGACAAACACCAGATTATCTAACATTTATAGAGCCGTGCTTAAAAAGTCTCAAGGGATTAACCTGGGGGTGGGAGAATGCTCCTGGAAGCGATCTGACGTTAGTTTATGATGTTTTTAATCCTCCAAATGGCAGAGGTTTCTCTGTGGTTCCCTTGTACAGAAATATCCAAAGAAGACAGACTTTGAATAGTACAAAGAGAAATGGGTGTGCACCAGTGCCCACAAACCATCTTCCTGATGTAATACGGGGTGTAAACATGTCAAAATTGAATAGGTAGTAGAAGAAGAAGAAGTTAAGTTAGCTTTCAGTCACAATCCCTCATTCCCTTATGACAATGTCTCTGAGGTGATCTTTACATTCGTGAAGATTTGACGTATGAAGTTCATCCATGCTTAGTTTTCTGGTGACCGGAGCAAATAAAAGCCAGTTCTTCTTCTGGTTACAGGGTGATATGGGTTTACCTGGGTTGACAGGACATCCTGGATCACCTGGTCGAAAGGTAAGAGCTTTTTATGCTGGGGTGGACCCTTCTGGGTGGTTCTCCTGAGGTGGACTGGATATGGAGTCAAGTGAACTTTGGGCCTTGAACCCAAGACCTACCTTGAGAAAAGCAGTAATTCTTTAGTAGCCTTGAATGGAGGGGCTTCATCCATGTATTCTGGAAGAACATCTTCAAGAACAATTTCAGGAGTTGCTCTAGGTGTTTCATCTTGCAGGAACGTTGACCGCTTAGAAAGAGCCTACAAAGACCTTACGTTCTGGACCTTTGGTCCACCTTTACAGGAGAGGGCCCAGATCAAGAGTACTGTACAGATTCCTAAATTCAAAGAGAGGAGAGAAGACGTGAGAATTTGGGAATGGAAGGCTGTAGCTTCTCTGTTGAGATTGCCCTACTACAAACACCTTTGGTTTAGAAAGTTTCTCTTTTCTTTTTTGGAAACTTGAGTGAGCAGAAGTCCAAAGTGTAGGGAACTAATGTTCTTTGGGAGAAGTTGAGAAAGGGGCCTTTTGTGCTACAAAGCAAACTTCGAAGTGTTGCTTGGCAAGGCAGGAACAGCGTTGTGGCATAATTGAACATCTGCCAAGGCCCACATTCCCCCCCAAATCCCCGGAGCTGGCAGTGCACATATTTCCCGCTGTTTCTGAAACACAACTCCATTTTCCTCCAGTTCCTTGGTTCTCATGAGATAATGGAAACAGCCCCACCACACACCAGGACTTGGCCCTGTGACTACCTCAGACCTTCATTCCAGCCATGGATTTACCCACAATGCCTTGAGAAGGGTATTTGAAAGAGCTGACCAAACCATGCGGAGATACCTTCAAACCCCCCCACCCACCCCAGCAATTTGAAATGTTGCTTCTGCAGCCCTTTCTGGTGATGGTTGATGGGTCCTTCACAGTCATCCTTCAACCTCTGGTCCTCCCACATCTGGAGAAGGTTCCCCTTTCCTGTTCCAGTGAAGTTGCACCCGGGTTATTGTGAGTGAACCCTCTCCGCTCGGACTAAATTTAGCATTGCATCCAGTCTGCAGAATTGTCCCTGCTGACGTAGCTCGGGATACGTCCAGTTCTGCATCTAGACCTGAAAGAACTCAGGGCAGTCTTTAAAAAAAAAAGTGGCCATCAACTGCTACGTAGGAATTTGCAAATAGGAATTTTTTTTTCCTCTTTGTACAGTACTGTCATAACTGTAAAGTACTTTTTTGGATCTTGATCAACCCCTGGAAAGTTTTCAGCTCACCATTAAATAAGGCTGTGTTTGCGGTCTTTTTTTTTTTTTTTTCCTTGGCAGGTGTACAAAGTTGTCTGCTTTGGTCGTCATTTCCTTTCTTCTTTTCTTTCTGCTCTGTCACTTGGACCCTCAGCTGGGGATTAAGCCTGCCATTAGTCCCTTAAAGCAGTGGTTCTCAACCCTTTTAATGCCGCAACCCCCCAACCGGTCGTAAGTCGAAGACTACTCAACCGGTGATAAGTTGAGGACGACTCAACTGGTGCAGCCCCGTTTGCAGAATGGGACTTTTGGTGGGCTCAGCAGGGCAGAGACAACCTGGACAATTCCTATTGGCTTTTGAAAGCCAATAGAATTAGACTCTATTCAAGAGAGTCTATTCTATTGGCTTTCAAAAGCCAATAGAATAAAAGGGAGTAGCACAGCTAAGGAAAAAGGGGGAAAAAATGGCGGACTGCGTTGTTTGGCGACCCCCGTGAAATGGTCATTGGATCCCAAATGGGGTCCCGACCCACAGGTTGAGAACCGCTGCCTTAAAGTATCCTCCACTTCCAAAAGAAGGCTCCCTTGTGATTGACAGCCTGGATTCCTCCAGAAGCTTAGGACAAAGAGTGAATCCAGATGGTCATTCTTCTCCTGTCTCTTGACATTTCCAGCTCTGCTTGAAGACAGTTTCCCCTGGAGCCTCTTGGGGACGCCGATCCCCATTGCTTAAAAGCGAATTGGTCCACCTTTTTCATCACGTTCCCGTCTTTCTTTGGAACTGTGGCTATTAATTTTTTTTTTTTAAAATGCACAGTCAGTGAAGCAGCTTTGAGGACCATCAACTTTGTCTAAAGTTTTTCAGGTCCGGTGTGGGCAAATTGTGGGTCAGGATTATGGATGAAGTGACTGGTTTGGTTGGGGTAGCAAAATGTTTCTGCAATTTCAACGCATCGAACTTGGTATTGACTTTAGGGTCAACTTAGGGAATCCATCAGAATAGAGTTGGAAGGGACCTTGGAGGTCTTCTAGTCCAACACCCTGCTCAAGCAGAAGACCTTAGACCACTTCAATCAATCAATCAATCAATCAATCAATCAATCAATCAATCAGAATAGAGTTGGAAGGGACCTTGGAGGTCTTCTAGTCCAACACCCTGCTCAAGCAGAAGACCTTAGACCACTTCAATCAATCAATCAATCAATCAATCAATCAGAATAGAGCTGGAAGGGACCTTGGAGGTCTTCTAGTACAATTCCCTCCTCAAGCAGGAGATCCTAGACCATTTCAATCAATCAATCAATCAATCAATCAATCAGAATAGAGCTGGAAGGGACCTTGGAGGTCTTCTAGTCCGACCCCCTGCTCAAGCAGACGGTCCTAGACCATTTCAATCAGTCAATCAATCAGAATAGAGCTGGAAGGAACCTTGAAGGTCTTCTAGTACATCTCTCTCCTCAAGCAGGAGATCCTAGACCATTTCAATCAATCAATCAATCAATCAATCAGAATAGAGCTGGAAGGGACCTTGGAGGTCTTCTAGTCCAGTCCGGCAGGACACCCTATTCCATTCCAGACCGATGGCTGTCCAGTCTCTTCTTAAACACTTCCAGTATTGGAACTTCTGAAGGCAACTTCTGTTCCACTGGTGAATTCTCCTCACTGTTAGGAAGTTTCTCCTTAATTCCAGGTTGTTTCTCTCTCCTTGATTATTTTCCATCCATTGCTTCATGTCTTGCCTTCTGGTGCTTTGGAAAATAAGGTGACCCCTCCTCCTCTTCTTTGTGGCAGCCCCTCAAATAGTGGAATACTGCTGAATCTTATGTCCATGTGCTGAATGCTGAATCTTCTGTTCAGGTGGAACCGGGCTCTGGGAACACGGGGGGGGGGGCGAGCTTAGCAAACTCTACAGCGCTTCATCCAGATGTGCTGTGCTTCTCTCCTGAGCAATGTAAGAAGCTCCATGCCAAATTAGACAAATGGCCCATCCAACTGCAGAATGATTTATTATGACCGACAGCTGGCCCAGCTTCCATGCATAAAGGAGGAATTTGGCACATCAGGATGCTTCGCTTCTGATTCATACATTGCTCGCGCTGCTTAAGAAGACAAAGCCATCTGCAGGAAGTCGTGCAAGGAATCACCAGCGTATTGGGTGGCAATTTTGGGGTTTTTTTTAGTAGTAGACACTGGCAAAAACACCCGCATAGTTTGGCAGGTGGTATCTCCACCTCGTCCAACGTGCTCTGGGACGTCTCCTTCCCACTTCCTCGCTCAACACAAAGAAGGATGATCCAAAGCAAGCCATGATATTTGTGCTTGGTGGTTTCATCAAGCGGAAGGTCTATGGAGATTCTCAGTCATCCAGGTCATGGTTGCCCCAAAGGTGCTTTTTTCACGAAGCAACAGGACTTTCTTGTTTTTCCTTGAGGATGTTTCACTTCTCCTCCAAGAAACTTCTTCAGCTCTGAACGGATGGTGGGGAAAGGAAGGATTGATACTCCTTGCAGACCGCTGGTCATTTGCCTTTTTTTAGAGTCATTGAGGCCACTTGGAGATTTATTTGTGTCCTCAGGGTCACCTGAGTGGTGCAAATGGCCGTGGAGCCCTCTTGGTTGCAGGATGTTTTCTGCCCTGGATCCCTTCCCTGTTGAAGACCAGCACAAGGCTGTTGGAGATGAGTCTGCATTTCAAACTGAAGTCCAAACGGTTCCTGCAGTCTGCAATGTTTTCTGGAAATCCGTTCAGACTCCCTCACCATTCAAAGGAGGTTCATCCCATTGCTGGATGTCTGTGGAGATTCTCAGTCCCAAAGGTGCTTTTTCAAAAGGCAACTGGACTTCCTTGTTTTTCTTTGAAGACGTTTCGCTTCTCCTCCAAGAAGCTTCTTCAGCTCTGATGCAAAGGACCGGCTGTCTGCAAGGAGTATAAATCCTTCCACTCCCCCACCATCCAGTCAGAGCTGAAGAAGCTTCTTGCATGAGAAGCGAAACGTCTTCAAAGAAAAACAAGAATCTCATCAAGCTGGATCGTACGTGGGAATTGATCTCCTTGTGTTTTGAAGATGACTTTTTCCCCCTACACTAAATAGTTATACATGCGTGTTTATTCTTTTGAACAGGGACAGAAAGGATATCTTGGTCCAACAGGCCATTCTGGAGAGCCGGTGAGTATTTTTTCCCTGGTTTTGAGATTTTTTCATATGTCTGGGGTGGGAAGCCCAACTGTGATTGGCCAGAAGTTCTGGATCAGGGGTCTTCAAACTTGGCCCTTTGATGACTTGTGGACTTCAACTCCCAGAATTCATCAGCCAGCGGGAGGGAACTATCACCCTTTTATGACTTATGGACTTCAATTCCCAGAATTCCTCAGCCAGCATGAGAGAACTATCACCCTTTTATAACTTGTGGACTTCAATTCCCAGAATTCCTCAGCCAGCGTGAGGGAACTATCACCCCTTTATGACTTGTGGACTTCCCAGAATTCCTCAGCCAGCGTGAGGGAACTATCACCCTTTGATGACTTGTGGACTTCCCAGAATTCCTCAGCCAGCCTGCCTGGCTGAGGAATTCTGGGAGTTGAAGTCCACAAGTCATCCAAGAGCCATGTTTGACGACCCCTGTTCTGGATGGATGGAGAATAAAATAAAAAAAAATATATCACATATTCTCCATGGAAATGTCAGGTCTTCCTCAGCAGGGTAGCTGCTTTGTCGAGACAGTTGGATGTGTGAGTTGAGCGTAATCCTTCCCATCCTTCCTTCTCCACCAACCTTCTCTTTTTATATCTCCCTTTTGCGCAGGGTGTCCGAGGTGCTCAAGGAAATCCAGGAGCCAAAGGTTATCCTGGCAGGCAGGTGCAGTAAATCTTTTATTGTGCTGAACTGCAGCACAGGGTAGGGGGGAGAATCCTGGTAGGTGATTTCGGATCCTATCGGGAGGGGTTTGCAGAAGGAGGCAGCGGCCTCCTCCTTAATTCTCCGCACGGAGAACGCTAGCATGTCAGGGAGGAAGGCCTTCCAGCCCCGAGCTTCTGCCTGAGATGCTGCTCACCTGGAAACCGGGTGAAAACCCGCCCCGTCTTTGGTACGCCAGTGGGTTAGATCAGGTGAGTTCTTGCCTGAAGGTGGGCGTGTATTGTCTGACCTGTCTTTCTTTCGCAAGGTGTTAAATGTCGCGGGGACTCTAGCGGAGAGCTTTGATTGATGCATTGTGGGCAAACTTCTCAACCAAGGAAAGAGAATATTTGAAGCTCAAGAGGTCCCCGGTGGCCTCTCAGTTGGGTTGTTGGTTTGCAAAGGTTTCATGACCCAACTAGGTAACATCATCAGTGCTGGGGGTTCCGGGCTAGTAGCATCTTGGCACTTAGGATGTTCCATGACTGGGTCATGAAACGTCTGCAAGAAAATCACGGAGGACCCACCGTCGTCGTCGTCGTCCTCCTCCTCCTCCTCTCCGCAAACCCCACTCCCTTCTAGCACTGATGATGTAACCTAGTTGGGTCATGAAAACGTCTGCCAGAAAACAACCGAGCTCAGAGACACCCCCCCCTCCCCCCAAAGGACCCCGCAAACCATGTGAGAAGAACAATTCCTAACAACATTCTTCAAGTTTGGTGCCTTTTTCTCCACCTGAACGGGAAAAAAAAAGTTTGGGTCTGTCTGGGAGGAAACCTCATTTCACGAGATGACATCAAGTCAACGTTTGCGAAAAGCACACGCAGCTACAGAAATCGGCTGCAAATATTTTTTCCAAACCCCACTCCACGGGGGCCGAAACACTCTGCTGAATTTTTCCACCTGGGAAAGGAGGACGGTGAAATCCTGCCTTAGATTGAAAAAAAGAAGAGAAAAACACCCCAAGATTCAAATCTTGAAAATACTCCAATCTGCTCGTTGGTCCACCGTGACACTGTTGCAAAGAGACCTTGTCTTTTTTTGGGGGGGGGGGATTGCAACTTGGCAATATGAGGTGTCCCAACCTTGCCTTCTTTTGTTTCTGGAGTTCTTTGTTTCTCCCTGTAAAACATTAGGCCTTTCCATAAAAGTCCCTACCGAAAGTACAATAAAAACGTGGTGAGCAATTTGTTTATGAAAAACATACAGGGAGGGAGGAAAAATAAATAATGCCTCTAGATCCATCACTGTCTCTCCTAGAGGGGCGAGCCAGAATTCCTGACACCCACTTGGCTCGGACTGGAGAGCAAAGCTTCAGGTTGGATGTCAACCTGTTGGGGGGGGGAACAGAGCCAACTGGAAGCTGTGTGGGTGGACCCAATGTGCCAATATGGGAAATTGGGTTGACATGGAAGCTTTGTAACCTCCTAACCCAGGGATAGGCAACCTTGGCTCTTTTAGGACTCATGGACTTCAACTCCCAGAATTCCTGAGCCAGCCGCGCTGAGGGGAAAGGGAGAGGTTTCCAAGCTGAGCCATGCTGGCTCAGGAATTCTGGGAGTTGAAGTCCACGAGTCCTAAAAGAGCCGAGGTTGCCCACCCCTGCCCTACCCCTACCCTACGGAGAAAGCAAGCCTTGGCTCCTGCCTTCCTGCCCTAGATCCAGATGTTTGGGCTTCCAACGTCTGTCAAACAGGGAACGTCTCGTCCAACTTTCAGCGCCTAGTAAAGGCCATTGACGAAACCTGTCACGTGTTGGTCAAAGTTTGCACGATGCATGACTCTATGTAGACGTAAGAGAGCAAAGAGATCGCTAACCCATTTGATCCTTGCAATGGGGGGGGGGCGCTGCCCTTTTTGATTTTAATGAGCTTTTTTCTGGGCGCAGGGCACCTGTTTTGGATTACCGTTGGAACAAATGCCTCTCCAAAAAAAAAAAAAAAAAACGCAGATTTTTTTTTGCAGAGTCATTAGCTATGAAGATGTCTATTATTATTATTATTATTTGTCTCTCTCTCCCTCTCCTCCACCCTTTTGAAATGCCTTTCTAGTTTTTCCTTGGCTGCTTCCCAATTTCCCGGCAGTTGTGCTTCCTCTCTCTGGCCTTGCTTTTTTGCAAAGATAACTCTGCGGGGTTGAGAACCCTCTCCAAATTAATCGGTCTTTTTGTTTGTTTCTCTCTTCCCTCTCTCATGTTTTAGGGATTACCTGGACCGATAGGAGAGCCTGGCCCAAAAGGTAGCCAGGTAAGTCAGTCAGATTTGGGACCGATGTTTGCAAAGTGAGGCTGAAGCGGTTCGGACGGCTGCTTCTCTGCTCTTCCTCTCTCCTTAAACGGACATGTGGTGGAAGAAGAAGAAGAGGGGTCTTCTTTGCCCCCCAGTTAAGCTCACCACTTTCTCCTTGTTTCTCAGTTCGATTCTTATACCAACCAAGGCTTGAGGAGATGCCGAGAACATCGGAGCATCCAATCTGAGTCGGTCACCCCGGGACCAAAAGGTCATTCTTCCAAATTTAGGCTGGAGCCCATCGTCAAGGAAGCTCTCTCTTTCCAGACGGTCCCGCTGACCGACTCAGAGTGGATCCGACAATGTTCTCCTGGGGCACATATCATTGACCTTTCTCCGCGAGAACGCTGGACGTCCGTTCTTGCCTTTCTCCCCGCACTTGGCCATCTGCCGAAACGGCTTTTCTTTATACAAAGCGGCAGCTTTTCGGGTGGGCGTGCTCTTTGTTTATTATTATTATTTTTATTTTTAAAGAACCCTTCAAGGGTCTGAGAAGGTCCATTTTGATTTGAAACCCATGGAGCCTGCGCTCGGCCACCTGGCAATGCAGAGGGACGCCATTTGTAGAGCGAAGCGGCATGGGTAACACTCACCTGATTTCTGTGTTTAGGTGCTGCGCCTTTGCACCCTCATTTTTTTTTTTTTTTTTGAAGCTCTTCCAAGAGTTCCTCTGACTATCTTTAGTATTCCCACTGCCCTGTTACAAAGCAAGCCACTAACAGCAATGTCGGTCCATGCTCTGATGGTGAGCTGCATTTGAAGGTATCCGTTTTTGGGATGAAAAAGTGTGGAGATTTTGCTCAGGTTTTCTTCCCTAGCCTGGATGCTGAAACATCATTCTTCTCCTCCTCCTCCTCCTCCTGCTCCTGCTCCTTCCTCTTCCTCCTCTTCCTCCTCCTCCTCCTCCTCCTCCTCCTCCTCCTCCTCCTCCTCTTCCTCTTCTTCTTCTTCTTCTTCTTCTTCTTCTTCTTCTTCTTCTTCTTCTTCTTCTTCTTCTTCTTCTTCTTCTTCTTCTTCTTCTTCTTCTTCTTCTTCTTCTTCTTCTTCTTCTTCTTCTTCTTCTTCTTCTTATTCTTCTTCTTCTTCTTCTTCTTCTTCTTCTTCTTCTTCTTCTTCTTCTTCTTCTTCTTCTTCTCCTCCTCCTCCTCCTCCTCTTCTTCTTCTTCATCTTCTTCTTCCTCTCCTCCTCCTCCTCCTCCTCCTCTCTTTATTTTCCTCCTCCTCCTCCTCCTCCTCTCTTTATTTTCTCCCTGCTGTTTTTGGCCCAAAGAAGCCAAGTTGCAGTATTATTATTATTACCTTGTCTTGTTCCTCTTCCTTGTATCATCTTTAGTCATAAGTCCCAGCAAAGTTTCAGGCCAGTAAATCCACCCCCTCTCTCTTGTCATGTGTTTTATTCCTCCGAGCAGTAAAACGCTACCAGCTGGGTTTTTTGTTTTTGTTTTTTGCCAGGAAACTTGTGAGCAATAAACAAAAAAGAAAAGTAAGCTGGCAGCGGTTTCACATAATGTGTGGAAAAGCAGAAAAGAGGTTAGGGTGGAACTGGGGGTATAAGTGAGTCAGCTTTGGAGATAGCTTGCAGCCGTGGGCTCACGCTCTAACCAGTGGTGGGATGCAGCTGGTTCTCACCGCTTCGGCAGAACCGGTAGCTAATTTTTTGTTGCCCAGGCCCAGAACGGACTTCCAGAACCCTGAGATCCAGTTGTTGACTTATTTGAATCCCACTTCTCTTCATAGCCCTTTGGGAAAGTCCGAGCTGCAAAAAGTTGCATTTCCATCCCATAAGGAATGGAAGAAATGGTTGGCTACTTTACAAAAATCACCAGCTACTCCGAGGAGAAGGGGCAAAACATATCATTAATCCACTATTGGTAGAAAAGGACTTTTGTATACTTTTTTTTTTTAAAAAATGTTCTTACTTCTTCTAACTTGGGTGGTGAAGATAAAGAAGATTGAAGTGTTGGGATGGATATCTATCTATCTATCTATCTATCTATCTATCTATCTATCTATCTATCCATCCATCCGGAAGGATCTGTTTGCATGGGTAACCAGGTCTGTTAAAAGCGTAGGGGACTGCATTCATACCACTTGTTAACCCAGGTTAGATTGTTTTGTCAGTAGGGTGAACTGCTAACCCAGCCTTAGTCTGGGATTCTATGGACCGAATAAAACCAGGAAATTGATCAGTCCAGTTCTGAGTGAAATGGGTTACCAGAACTCAGCTAGGAGTGTCCAGCGAGGGTTGATATGGAAACACGGAAGTGATGAAAAACCACAAAGAGCCTAAATGGCTGTGCTTATCATTAACCAAACTGGTTGCGTTGGTTTCCAAGGCTTCTCCCGCCGACATTAAATAGCACTCTGCTACAAAGACAAATGCATTGGAGGAACAGATATATGCACACATACATACCCACTTGTCAGAGGCAAGAAGTCAGGAATAGAGTTCAAAAGAGCTACAAGTTTATTTCATGCTACTTATATACAAGAATCTGAGCTACTAGCGGTCAAGACAAATTGGTACGACTTTAAGGGGAGGCGGGGGCTGGACTTTGGTCTTTTTGGGAGGCATAGTGACTTCCAAACTAGTGGTGCATTTGACCCCACCCTCACCTGACCATCTGCTACACACACACACACACACACACACACACACACACACACACACACACAAGCTCACAGATGCTTAATCTGTAGAACCAAGCGATCCTACACACACACACACACACAGAAACTCACAGATGCTTAATCTGTAGAACCAAGCGATCCTACACACACATACACACACACACACACACACACACACACACACACACACATAGATACACACAGAAACACACAGAGAGAGAGAGGGAGGGAGAGAGAGAGAGAGAGAGAGAGAAGCAAGTTCACAGATGCTTAATCTGTAGAACCAAGCCAGATTGATTGTTTAGAGCAGGGGTGGGGAATGATGGCCCTTTTTATGATTTGTAGAGTTCAACTCCCATGCAGGCTCAGGAATTCTGGGAGTTGAAGTCCGCAAGTCATAAAGGGGCCATCACAATGGCATCTTGCCCTGGAGTACTCCAAACAATGTCATATATTTATCTAGAAGAATAGATGAGAGTGACTTTTAATTACCTGGTGGTTAGAGTGCAGTATTGCAGGCTAACTCTGCCCACAGCCTGGAGTTCGATCCTGATGAGATTCAAGGATGACTCAGCCTTCCATCCTTCTGAGGTTGGTGAAATGAGGACCTAGATTGTTGTGGCAAATATGCTGACTCTGTAAACTGCTTAGAGAGGGCTGTGAAGCACTGTGAAGCAGTATATAAGTCTAAGTGCTATTGCTCTCTCTCTAAATCTCTGTAAATCTCTTTCTTTCTATCTATCGTATTTATCTATCCATCTATCCATCCATTGATCATCTAGCTATCTATGTCTGTCTATCTATCTGTCATCTATCTCTATACTATCTATCTATCTATCTATCTATCTATCTATCTATCTATCTATCTATCTATCTATCTATCTATCTATCTATCTAAGAGCTGTGGTGGCGCAGTAGTTAGAATGCAGTATTGCAGCCTAACTCTGCCCACTGCCAGCAGTTTGATCCTGACCGGCTCCAGGCTGACTCAGCTTTCCGTCCTCCAGAGATCGGTAAAATAAGGACCCAGATTGTTGGATGGGGGGATGGGCAAGATGCTGACTCTGTAAACCACTTAGAGAGGGCTGTAAAGCACTGTGAAGCGGTATATAAGTCTTAAGTGCTAAATGCTATTGCGGTCTGTCTGTTTGTCTGCCGGTACCTTCTCCTCTTCCTCCCCGCCGAGCACACGGTCCCTGGCGTGAGGGTATGTGCCCTTGGACTACATCGTGGAAAATATCACCATGCAGTCCATGGGCATATACACTTGCCCCAAGGTTTCTTTCGTCATGGTCGCCAAGAACCCAACGCTGGACAATGACCTGCTATGAACTTCCACCTTCCGAGGAGACAAAATGCTCTTTGTTTTTTTTTTTTTCCCTGCTTCCCACAGGGGTACATTGGCCCGCCAGGACTGTTGGGAACGCCCGGGGCCGATGGGGAAAGAGTAAGTATTTATCGTTGTGGGGTCTGGGGCGGACCCCTTGGTTGCAAAAGACTTGACTGCAAAACTCCCTTTTCCTTCCCCATCTTTGCCTCCTTCTGGTCTGGCCCTAGAAGTGGCCAACGCAACTCTCTCTCGGTACATCTTCAAGCTCAGCACATTTCACACAAGAGCTCAAGCTCAAGCGGGAAAATTGGGCTCCCTCTTCTAATCTCGTCTCCCCCCCCCTCGTCAGAACAAGCCCCAAGATGTAGAGGTTGTTGGAGGGGAGAGAGAAAGTGACGGGTCTCAAGGCCCAAGTTGTGAGCTTCCAGGGCAGAAGGTGACTCTCTGATTCTGCTCCCACATCGTCTTAGTTCTACACCGTGGCGGTGGTGTTCGTAGCGGTTGAGAGCTGAGCGGGTGTGATCCACTGAGGCTTGCCAGTGGTGGGTGGGGGATGAAGAAAGCTGTGGGTGGGGTCCTAAGTGCCCAATGCGAATATAGACTATTTTTGATCCTTGCTTCCTCCCTCCCTCCCTCCCTTTCCCTCCCTCCCTCCTTCCTTCCTTCCTTCCTTCCTTCCTTCCTTCCTTCCTTCCTTCCTTCCTTCCTTCCTTCCTTCCTTCCTTCCTCTCCACATCTCTCCCTTTCTCCTTCCTTCCTTCCTTCCTTCCTTCCTTCCTTCCTTCCTTCCTTCCTTCCTTCCTTCCCTCCCTCTCCACATCTCTCCCCTTCTCCTTCCTTCCTTCCCTTCTTCTTTCCTTCCTCCTTCCCTCTCTCTCCCTCCCTCCCTCCCTCCCTCCCTCCCTTTCCCTTCTCCTTCCTCCCTCCTCTCCCTTTCTCCTTCCTCCCTCCCTCCCTCCCTCCCTCCCTCATTCCCATCTCCTTCCTTCCTCCCTCCCTCCCTCCCTCCCTCCCCAAAAGATCCAGGGAAGCAGAGATCCTAACACTCCTAGAAAGCTTCTGAAACTCAGACTGAAAGCAGCTTATGCCTGTAGGATTACAGCTGATCCGCCCCTCCCATTTCCCCCTCTTATGAAGCCTCGGTGGAAGAATAAACCATTTGGTCTCATTTCCAGTTGGCTTTCCCTATTCTCTAATCTGTAAACGATGAGGTCATGGCTGAATCATCAGCAGCCAGAAGGTCAAAGTGGGGCCGGGAAAGTCTACCCTTGGCCAACCAGAACAGGAAACTGACTTGAGTTCTTCCTGTGCAGTTGGGAGCTTTGATAAAGGCAATTAGAAGTACATTTGTGTTTTTAGACTTCCTCCCTTCCCCTAAGAGATTTCAGAACAGGGCCTACAGCCCAGGCCTCCAGTGTGTCTGAAAAAGTTCCTACTCCTTTCCCACCCCCAAGACACACACACACACCTGAGTCAAAGAGAACTAGCTCCAGACTCCTCATTATCAAGGGTGCTCATGGCCAAGTATAGTTGGACTTTAGTTCTCTGTAGGCTTCATCAGAGGGTTTCTCCGTGATCCCAACTATGCAGTGCTAAGCCAGCTCATCTGCTCTGTGCAATTGGCAGATCCCAGACCCCCCAAAAAAGACACAACCTGCGATTGTGTATGTATATTAAGAGAGGAATGTGCTAATGCTCAGGAGATGCTAATTTAAGGGTTTTGTGGAACTAAATCAGAACTATAGAGTGACGATCTCCAGCGAGCATGGTTGGTTTAGATCCCCCATAGGTCCAGATTATTCGTCCAGCTAAGCACTGTCTCCAGTTCCTGGAACTGGTTGGGGACAAGCCTTATGTGTCTCTTGTGTATTTGTGTCTTCCTGAGACTCAGGAAGGAAAAGTTGAACTCCTTCTCCATCTTCCTTTGCTCTTTCATGCTGACGTTCTGACCCACCGTTTTTCTAAACTGTTCCCTTTTTTGATCTCCCCTTTCTGTTCAAGGCTCGTATTTCTCCTTTCTGGCTGTCCAGTTCTTCTCCAGTTTTTAATTCTCTCTCTCTCTCTCTCTTTGTTTTGTAGGGAACCCCCGGAGTTCCTGGGAAGAAGGGCAAGATGGGTAGGCCGGTAAAGTTTTTCCTTGTCTATTATGCAGATTTTCTTTAAAATTAAAACAGGAGATGGGTGGTGGGGATGGGGATATTGGAGGCGGGATCTTGAAAACTTTGCGGTTCTTGATTTTGCTGTCTCTTTGAGTTGGTTGATGATGGGCCATCAAGCTGTTGTTGACTCTGAGTGACCATGCAGAGATATTTTCTCCATGATGATCTATCCTTAACTTGGCCTTCAGGTCTTCTAATGGTGTATAGAATAGAGCAGAGCAGAGCAGAGTAGAGTAGAGTAGAGTAGAGTAGAGTAGAGTAGAAATTTAGAATAGAAATGTAGAATAGAGTGTAGAGTAGAGTAGAGTAGAGTAGAGTAGAGTAGAATAGACTAGACTAGACTAGACTAGACTAGAATAGAATAGAATAGAATAGAATAGAATAGAATAGAGCTGGAAGAGACCTTGGAGATCTTCTAGTCCAGCCCCCTGCTTGAGCAGGAGAACCTATACCATCTCAGACAAGTGACTGTCCAGTCTCTTCTTAAAAACCTCCAGTGATGGAGCGCCCACAATTTCTGAAGGCAACTTCTGTTCCACTGGTTAACTGTCCTCACTGTTAGGAAGTTTCTCCTTAATTCCAGGTTGCTTCTCTCTTTGATCAGTTTCCAACCATTGTTGCTCGTCCTGCCCTCTTTGCTTTGGAGATTAATTTGACTCCCCTCCTCTTTGTGGCAGCCCCTCAAATACTGGAATACTGCTATCATGACGCCCCTGTTTCTTCTTTTCTTTAGACTAGCCAAACTCCAGTCCTGCAGTTGTTCTTCATACGTTTTTGGTCTCCAGGCCTTGGATCATCTTAGTTGCTCTTCTCTCTACTGTCCACATTGCTGGAGGTCAGCCACTTCTCTTTCCTTCCCTCTTCCATCAGGATCTTCTCCAGAGAGCCAGGTCTTTAACATGTCTGAAGTAGGGCAATCTGAGACTGATCCTTCCAGCTTTGAGTGAAAACTCTTGAGTTGTTCAATAATTCCCTTGGTTTCTTTTCTTCGATGTCTTCCAAGTCTTCTCCAATGCTATGGAGTCATCCAGGTCATGGTTGTCCCAAAGGTGCTTTTTCAAGACAGTTCTTCAGAACTGAAGAACCTTCTTGGATGAGACGCAAAACGTCTCAAAGGAAGTCCAGCCGTCTCTTGAAAAAGCACCTCAGGGTCTTCCCCAAGGCCAAAGTTCAGAAGTGTTGATGCTCTTCTTCTCCTGCTTCTTCAAAGTTCACCTTCTGCCTCTCTCTAATATATCTAGTGTATCTCCCTGGTGTACATTTAGTAGCATCACCCTAACTAGGGTAACGTAGGGTTTGTTCCCCAACTATTAAGCAAAGCTCTTCATTTAACAGATGAATTAGCACAGGGGTCTTCAAACTTGGCCCTTTTAAGACTTGTGGACTTCAACTCCCAGAATTCCTCAGCCAGCATGCGTGGCTGAGGGATTCTGGAAGTTGGTCCAGAAGTGTTAAAAGGGCCAAGTTTGAAGACCACTGAATTAAAGGGAAGGCAACGCAAGTCAATGCAACCTTAGCATAAAATGGCAGATGGATTTTATCCACCGGGGCTGAAAAAAAAATTCATTCAACTCCTCCTTTGCTAGATAGCCCAAACCCGCACAATGCTCCTGTTGTTTTTGAACTTTTCCCAAAATCAGTGAGCACTACCAATATCACGTTTTATCAGTTTGAAAAAGGTCTCGGGGTTGGAGGCAGGAGTCTGGTTACAACACCCAGGGCTGGTAATTACTACTTACATCACAGACTTTGGGTTTGTAACTGTTTTTTAAAAAAAACAACAACAACAGAGAAAAAGAAGGCGAATGGTCCCAAAAAAACACAAAAAAACGAGCTAAACAAAACAAACGGTTGTCAAGAATAGAAATCTGTTGGGGGACTTTAATGCAACTTCTATTGTATCAGAACTTCCCGATGTTCTCCAGCTGTTTCACTCTCACAGCTTCCCATTCCAAAAACCTCATATTTCCCTTCTCCTTTTTAGCAAAGCACTTAACTTTGATGTTGTTTTTAATGGAATCGCTCTCCCCCTTCCTAGAGGGAGGGGTGAGATCGTCTTTGGCAAAATACTTTTTTTTTTTCTTTCACTCCGGCTTGGGATTTTCTCTGCAAACGAGACCAAACCTTTCATTTTGGGATCATTTGCTTTTACAGTGTTTGGAAAGGGGAAACACCCTAACCGTGCAATTAAAGATAACCGTTACAGATATTTTAGAGACGGATTTTTGAGCGTGCTTAATCTTAGCGCCGCATTTGCCGATGGGTGTAATTATAGCGGGAAGCTTGTAGTGGAAAATAAACTTGGCGGGCGGGAGGTTTACATGTCTTCCGGATTGGGTCTCAACAACCGGAATATCGCAGGACGGATTAGGCAATAGATTGTGCCATCCGCAGGGCTGATTTTTTTCCCTCTAGGGAGAGTATTAAGGAAGGAGAATAAAAGAAGAGGAGAAGAAAGCTAGGAGAGATGTGGAAGTTACGGTTGGCTAGTGTGTGGCAAGCTGGCTGTTGCCATTGTGATGTTTTTCCCTTTGGTTTCTTGACCCTTCGTAGCTGTGGAGAAGTGTGTTGCTTATACTACAACCGGGTATCCTCGCATTAGGATGATGTTGACCAGAGAGGGGTTTAGGAGCCCTTCTTCCTAAAGGATTGGCCTCCAGGTGAACAACTGGCTCTTTAAAAGGATTGAGTACCAGTTCATGGAGTTCTTCCTCCTTGAAAAGTTGTAAGAATATTCCATCTGTCTTCAAGCTCCTAGTTTGCTGTTAGAGGAAACATTTGGTGTTCTTCAGGATGGGAAATCCATGGGTCTTTGGTGCCCCCAGCCCCATTTTCATGTTTCTCAGAGTCTCTTCCATATCCCATTATTTAGCAAAGAGATATGTTAAACTCTTTCCATGAAATGACAGACAGATGTAGTTGGATGGATAGATAGACAAGTTGGATGAATACATAGACAAATTACTTAGATGATAGATAGATAGATAGATAGATAGATAGATAGATAGATAGATAGATACAGACAGACAGACACAGACAGACAGATAGACAGACAGATTAGATAGATGATAGATATAGATATAGATAGACAAACAAACAAGCTGACAGACAAATTGAGTAGATAAAGTTGAATGGGTAGATAGGTAGATAAATAGAGTTGGATGGATAGATAGATGGACAGGAGTAGATCAGTTGAATGGATGGATGGATAGATAGATAGATAGATAGATAGATAGACAGACAGACAGACAGACAAACAAGTTGTTGTTTAGTTAAATGGATAGATAGACAGACAGACAGATATATAGATAGGTAGATAGACAAGTTTGGCTAGACAAATTAAATGGGTAGGTAGGTAGGTAAGTAGGTAGAAAGATAGATAATAGATAGATAGATAGATAGATAGATAGATAGATAGATAATAGATAGATAAATAGACAGACAGACAGACAGACATTCATTCAGTAAGCCTCCCAGAATGATGTAACAATGTTAAAAAAAGGAGGGGATTAAAATAGATGTGCTGGACGTGAGTCAGACCTTGACAGCGTTCCAAGGGAGCTCAGCTCAGCAGGGGCGGGAAAGGACGTGATGAATATTTGGAAATGAACTTTGGACAATTCCTCTCCTCATCCATGCTGCTCTTTCCCAGTGCACCCAGGGCACAAAGCTGCCCGGGAAAGTGGTGATGGGAAGGTAGCAGCAAATAGGGTGGTGTGTCAACAGGAGGTGGTAGGTCTGTCACACCCGTGCCCGAAGCTCTGGGAAACCCTGGGTAGTGCTGACATATCTCAGAAGGAGAATTCAGATGTTTAGGGTGGGAAAGGAATCTTTTACAAAAGAACAGACTGTTGAGGAACGCCCCCCCCCAATTTGCATAAGACATCATTCAGCCCTTGACCCAATTGGTTGTGCTCCACAGCTTGGCAGAGAAGACACTTGGTTGCATGCCACATAGAGCTGAAATCTCTCTGATTTCCCCAAGGTTTTTTTCCCCTCTACAACCTCCGTTTCTCCCGTCTTGCTCAGAGAGCTTTAGAATGTCCATCGATGGTGTCTATGGATAGAGTAGAGTAGAGTAGAGTAGAGTAGAGTAGAGTAGAGTAGAGTAGATGACTTAAGATTAAAAATGTTGACTGCCTGCCTTACTACTGTGTATTTGTCGATTTCTGGACAAACACAACCAAGCCAGTTAGATGTCTACTCCAGGGAAAAGGAACCTGTCCTTTGTGTGATTTGACCCGCAACTCCCATCCGCCCAGCCTGAAAGGGTGCTGGGAGACATAGTCTGTCCACAAGGAAGAGAAGGACATCAATCACCTCCATAACATCTGAATCAGGGACTTTTTCCATCAAAGGATTGTTTCCTTTGCTGGGTTTTGAAGATCTGATCTTTCGAGAAGGCATTTCCAAAACAAACCTGCTGGAATTCCAGGTTTTAGAGATCTTTCTCTCAAGTTAAAGGGCCATTTAAATGGCTTTTGCACTAGCCGGTTCTACTCTCTGCTCGGCGTTTGTGCACACTTTTCATAGCATCACACCCTCCGGCCGGCTCTTGTCTATTCCAACCGCCCCTTTTTTTAAATTTGGCAAGGCAGAAAGAGACAGTTGATTCACTGTACAGGATTTCCAAGATCTGAGCAGCCAACATAAGCTTTGAGATGGTTGCTAGATTTATTTCTTCTCTCTCTCTCTCTCTCTCTCTTGTCCCAACCTCTAGATTATTATTTTAAATCAATGCTGACCGGATTCCCTCCCCCCTTCTACGATTCCTCTTTCCTTTTCTTCTGCGTGCGTGTACGTGTTTTGTAAAGATTTAATTTGCAAAGCCTGCACCCCTTGGGAACATACCGCCCCCCCCCTCCCAGCACTGTTTCACCTGCTTGGATCCAACTTCTCAAACAGGATCTCCAGACTGAGCACCCAATTTTGAGCCAAGAGAATTTTTTTATTTTATTTTATTTAAAAGAAAAACCCAGCTATTTTTGGAGAGTGAGCTAAATGGCTGGAAAAGTCCTTTCTACAATTGTTGGAGATAGTCTCTTTTAGCAGTGAATGCTCCAACACTGGAAGTTTTTAAGAAGAAACTGGACAGCCATTTGTCTGAAATGGTATAGGGTTTCCTGCATGAGCAGGGGGTTGCACTCGATGAATTGGGTATGTCTAGTTTAATGAAGAGAAGGACGAGGGTGACATGATAGCAGTCTTCCAGTATCTCAGGGCCTGCCCCAAAGAAGAGGGAGTCAAGCTGTTCTCCAAAGCACCCGAGGGCAGAACAAGAAGCAACAGATGGAAACTCATCAAGGAGAGAAGCAACCTAGAACTAAGGAGAAACTTCCTGACAGTCAGAACAATTAACCAGTGGAACAACCTGCCTCCAGAAGCGGTGAATGCTCCAACGCTGGAAGTTTTTAAGAAGAGACTGGACAGCCATCTGTCCGAAATGGTATAGGGTTCCTGCCTGAGCAGGGGGTTGGACTCGATGACCTCCAAGATCCCTTCCAACTTTATTATTATCATTATTATTAAATCTTTCAGTAGCTCTCCATTGCTTCAGCTCTGCCCAAGCATCCTTTTTATTGAAGATCCTAAACGTTGTTTTTTGTTTTGTTTATTTATTTTGGCCTTTCTGTTTTGGAGGCGTGTTGGCCACACGTCAAGCGTGGTTCCAAAAGTGTTTTTTTCAAGAGGCAACTGGACTTTCTCGTCCAGTTCTCTGTACGGGGACAAGAAAGCCCAGTCGAAAAAGCATCTTTGGGACAACCATGGCCTGGATGATTGAGAATCTCCATAGACATTGCAAGTGTGGCCAGTCTTCCAGGCCTAGTGGAAAATAGTATTTTCTCAAGATTGATCGTGGAGCTTCCATACTTAGAGAAGATGTACTCTTGGCTATCAAATGGCCAGAAGCAGCAAAGCGAAAAATAAATTAATACATACTGTACCACTTGAATCCTGTATTATTGTAGACTTCCTGCCTTCCCCCTAATCTAAAAAAGTATCTGAAAAGTGCCAGGAAAAATCACTTTGATGAGATAGTTAATCAACATGACTCATAATGCAAGCTAGCAGATTTTTGCTGAAAGCTGCTGCTGATCCCATCTAGCGGGAATGTTTAATTGGTCCCAGGACTGCAGCTAAAATCCCAGTGAAGCTGGGATCCTATCTGAATTTTTAGAAAGCAGGCTGGATTCCATCCGATCGATCGCATCTCGTGGGGAGCGCGTGTGTTATTCCTGTCTCTAAGAAAAGTTCCAGTAGCTGGGTGTCCTAACAGCTTGATTGACACCGCTGATAATATGATCCACCGCATATCCGTGACAAAGAGTGCTTTTTGGGGGGTAAATGATACCAACTTTAAGAAAGAGGCCAGATGTAAAAAAAAATTCTTTCCCTTGGACAATGGAGAATGCATTCACATTGGCCTGCCTGGTTGAAAGAAAAAAGAAAAAAAGTTGGCTTGCCTGCGTTCATCTGAATGCTGCCTTTGATTCTATAGAAATTTGACGAACTCTGGGCAAAACGCCCAAATGCTAATCTTTGTGGTTGATCTTCCTCTTTGGCAACACGTCAGTCAAAATCCTTTCGGAAGCTTGGAATGGTTTTTCAGAAAAATCTTTGAACAAAGTGCATGTGTGGCTCCTGGGGTTCCCCATTTATGAATGGAGACACTTTGCGTGTGTCATCCGTAATTATATACTGTGTAACTCCAGAATAGAATAGAAATAGAAAAGAATAGAATAGAATTAGAATTAGAATGAATAGAATAGAATAGAAAATAGAATAGAGCACAGAGAATAGAATAGGAATAGGAATAGGAATAGGATAGGACATGATAGAACAAGGAATAGAATAGAATAGAATAGAATAGAATAGAATACAATTAGAATGAATAGAATAGAATAGAAAATAGAATAGAGAATAGAATAGAATTAGAATGAATAGAATAGAATAGAATAGAATAGAATAGAATAGAATAGAATATATGGAATGGAATGGATGGGATGGGATGGGGTGGGATAGAATAGAATAGAATTAGAATGCATAGAATAGAATAGAATAGAATTAGAAAGAATGAATAGAACAGAATAGAATTCTTTATTGGCCAACTGGGATCGGACACACAAGGAATTTGTCTCCAGTGCAGAAGCTTTCAGTGCACACACAAGCAATAAGTGATAAATCATGATCATAGTCATCGTAAAAATACTTTTATCATAAATTATAAGATACAACAGTCATAGTCATAGGATGCTGAATAAGCAATCAACATAAATCATACTAGACTACTAAATAAAACCATATTGTCGTAAGATACTAGCAACAAAGTTATAGTCCTAAGTAAATAAGAAGATGGGGAATAGGAAGGATGAGAAGAAGAATAGCAATATAGCCTCACCAAATAGTTTGACAGTTGTTATTAGTTGTTTAGCAGAGGGATGGCATGGGGAAAAAAAAACTCCTTGTGTCTAGTTGTTCTGCTGTTTTTAAATTCATGATTCCCAGGTGTGATACGGTCCTAGCCTCATCTCACTGAATTATCCCTTTCTCATAAACCACTATTATTATTATTATTATTATTATTATTATTATTATTATTATTATTATTATTAGCAATGATCTGGTTTACAATTTAGGGTGTGAATTGCCTGGAAAGGGCATTTATGGGGAAGGTTGATCAGCAAACAGTGTTTAAAAAAAAAAAAACACCAGGTCTTCCCTCATCCAGGTTTTTTTACCTTTTTCGTGATGGGCAAAAGAGCCAAAACTTTGCGTTTGATTCCCGAAACATCTTCTGTTCTTCTCCTGCATCGCAACAGAAAAATAACTGGAACATTTTTCTCCCCTCCTTTCCTTCCTCCCTCAGGGTTTTCCCGGCGATTTTGGGGAACGTGGACCACCAGGTATTGATGGAAATCCGGTAAGTTGGTGGGACTTTGTTCTGTAAGTTTGGGATTGGTCTCCTGCAAACAGCCCCTGTTTTTCTACTGTGGTCTGATGTCTGGGTTTCCCTAATGCATGGAGAGGTGTGTGTGTGTGTGTGTGTGTGTGTATGGGTGTGTGGTTTTTCTGATAGGGATTGACCTACATATCTTAGCGATCCTCTCCGATATGGTCAATTTTCATGGATGCTTGGAACTCAGCCACCTCTGGAGGCCCCAGTTTCACGTCCCTGCCCAGATGTGCATAGATATTAATGTAAATATCCCTGTGCAGTTTCTCTTTCTTGCACACGTTTCTTTAATAGAGTTCTTGGCTATGTAAATTCCCCTCACGAGGGCTTTTAAAAATGCATTTTTTCCCCCCAGGCTCCATTCGCTTTTATTTCAGCCATCCACTTTCCCCCCCCCAAAAAAAAGAAAAAGAAAAACCCCACCAAAAAACACACACATTCTTTTTGAAATGCATCTTTTATAAAGATATAAAAAGTTTATAAAGGATTGCTTTCTTTAAAAACAAAAATTGGATGTTTTGAGTCGGGGAAAAGGGACTTGATCAGATGCCATTTCATGGTGTTGTCTCTATTCCTTGTGAATTTTTCCTTTTTTTAAAAAAAATAACACACCTCTGTTAGTAGAGGCTTGGGCAGAAGGGAGAAGAGCAAAAGAGGGGGTTCAAGATGAAACGATTGGGGTCCAAGATGAAAAGATTGGGCTCCATGATCAAAAGATGGAGGTTCAAGATAAAAAAAATGGAGGTCCAAGATCAAAAGACGGAGGTTCAAGACCAAAAGACGGAGGTTCAAGATCAAAAGATGGAAGTCAAAGATCAAAAGATGGGAGCTCAAGGCTTGGTTGGATTGGGAAGACTGCAATTGAATGGTTGTCTTCTCTTTGAAAGTGTGCCTCTGTTTTGCCATCCAGATGTCTTCAGCTGTTGAGCTTAGAAGCCAGAAACTGTCAGTTCCAAAGATAATCCCGGAATTGTTACACTGGTGCAAGAAAAAAGAAATGACGTTGAAAAATAACAAATAACATGGAGAACTGAATAGGATTGACACATGCTTTTGAACCCAGTCAGTCTTGCTGAAGGATTTCCATAAGCATTCCAAACCACGCGATCTTCTTGAGAGATAGCCTGTCTCAGAATAGATGTTTTTTCCACCAATCTCCATGGATGTTTTTCCACCAGCCCACCACAGAACTTAATAATTACAACGTGGAGGCCACAAACCTGGGTCTATTCGTGGGAGGCCAGATGTTCTCCTAATTTCAAATGTAGACCATTCTGTGGGAACATAAACTTAACCCAGTCAAGATGATTTGGAATTTCTGTTCCTTTCCCCAATTTCATGGTTTCCAGAAATCAAAATTTCCCCTGAAACATGTTGGGTTCATTTTTTTTTTTTTAAACAAAAGGAATAATCCAACCCAGATCTTGAGGAGCTTCTCAATTGGCTGCAAAACCCTGAACTTTCAGCAGAGAGGATTCTTCCCTTGATATGGCTTTGCCTAGTTTTTTTCATGGTCTTCCCAACAAAAGCAGAAGGTCTTAGCTTGTTTGAAAAGAAAACCATCAGCAGGGGTGAAGAAGAAGGTTTATGGTCCCCGAGGGAGCAAATTCCAGGGGAGGAACATTGGTGAAACTGAGTCTGAATTTCCTAGTAGAACATAGAATCATAAGGCTGGAAGGGATCTTGGAGGTCTGCTAGTCCAACCCCCTGCTCAAGGCAGGAGAACTTATACCACCCCAGTCAAATGGTTATCCAGTCTATTTTTGAAAACCTCCAGTGATGGAGCACCCACAATCCCAGGAGGCAAGCTGGTCATACATACATACATACATACATACATACATACATCTGTCTGCCAGCCCATCCATCCATCCATCCATCCATCCATCCATCCACCCACTCAAAAAAACCCATCTATCTATCTATCTATCTATCTATCTATCTATCTATCTATCTATCTATCTATCTATCTATCTATCTATCTATCTATCTATCTACCTACTTGTCTACCTATCTCAGTCCATCCATCCATCCATCTGCTCACCCATCCATCTACCCACCCACCCACCTACCCACTCATAAAACCCACCCATCCATCATCTCTCTCTCTCTCTCTCTCTCTCTTTCTCTACTTGTCTACCTATCTCAGTCCAGCCAGCCAGCCATCTGCTCGCCCATCCATCCATCCATCCATCCATCCATCCATCCATCCATCCATCCGCCCGCCTATCCACCCACCCACCACCCACTCACTCATAAAACCCACCTATCCATCATCTGTCTGTCTGTCTATCTATCTATCTATCTATCTATCTATCTATCTATCTATCTATCTATCTATCTATCTATCTATCTATCTATCTATCACACCCACTCAGCCCTACCAAGCAAGATACCAGCTTTGAGACCATAACTCAATCTTCTCCTGAGAGGGTCATAGAAGGTGGCCCCTGTCTACTTAGTTTGGGGACAAGGCACTCCGTTGCAATGGATGTTGCTTTTCCCAAGTCCATTCAGGGACCAAATATTTCATTTAAGGCCCTTTGTCTATATATATATTTTTTTTACTTCTCCTAGCAGATTAGGTCCATGTCCAAGTAATTCTCATCCTTGGATTGTGTCCATCGAGGTTAATAGTCAAGTAAAAACAGAAACTGGTGGGAACAAGGAGAAAGCAAAATACTTATTAGGCCTTTATTTTCATGGATTTTGGCTTTCCACAAGGCTGTATTCACACTCACATAAATGCACTTTTTAAGGAGGCATTTTCACCTTTGCTGTTCAAACTTTTCTCTAATGAATGCAGCTTTTTCTATCTGCCCCACCCCAAACGTATAAGCTCCTGAAGTTATGTTCATGCACCCACTTCCCTAGAGTCACAGTCTCCAGCTGAAAGCCGTCTGTTTTATGTAACTAACCATAATATGTGTTTGTGTACAATTGTGTGTGTGTGTGTGTGTGTGTCTAAGTATATTTCCTCCCCCTTCCTCTCCCTCTCCTCTCCCCATTCCAAATCTGGCATTGTTTATTGGTCTGAGCTGGGTGAAAAGATCCGGTTTCAAATTTTACCTGGGGGGGGGGGGAGGGAAACATATGGCACTTGTCCTACCAAGCCTCAATTCCAGAGTTTCTGGAGTGGGTGAAGGGACAGCTACTTTGTGGGTTTGTGTTGAACTTTAATAAGAGATTCATATATTGGATGTAAGGAGAGGAATGACATGCTTTCTTCTCTCTCTTTTGTTTTAATTCCCCTTTCCTTTCCTTTCCTTTCCTTTCCTTTCCTTTCCTTTCCTTTCCTTTCCTTTCCTTTCCTCTCTTTCCTCTTCCTTCTCCTCCTTCTCCTCCTGCCCTCCTCCTCCTCCTCCTCCTCCTCTTCATCTATCTTCTCCTTATCTATCTACCTCTCCTCCTCCTCCTCCTCCTCCTCCTCTTCTTCTTCTTCTCCTCCTCCTCCTCTTCTTCTTCTCCTTCTCCTCCTCCTCTTCTTCTTCTCCTCCTCCTCCTCCTCCTCCTCCTCTTCTTTTTCTTCTTCTTCTCCTCCTCCTCATCTATCTTCTCCTTATCTATCTACCTCTCCTCCTCCTCCTCCTCCTCTTCCTCTTCTTCTTCTCCTCCTCCTCATCTATCTTCTTCTTATCTGTCTACCTCTCCTCTTCCTTCTCTCATCCTCATCATCTATCTTCTCCTTATCATCTATCTGTGATCTACTGAAATCTCAACTCTATCTATCTATCTATCTATCTATCTATCTATCTATCTATCTATCTATCTTCTTCTTCTTCTTCTTCTTCTTCTTCTTCTTCTTCTTCTTCTTCTTCTTCTTCTTCTTCTTCTTCTTCTTCTTCTTCTTCTTCTTCTTCTTCTTCTTCTTCTTCTTCTTCTCCTTTCTCCTCCTCCCCCCTCCCTCCCCTCCTGCAATTCCCTGGTGGAGGAGGGGGAGCCACTTTCTCCCTTTTCACTTAGCTGGTCAGAGCAAGCCTTCTCGGGGTTTGCAAAGCACTCCTTCCTTTTCTGTTGCTGCTGCAGCATTTCTGCTGGCGGAAAGGGCTCCTGCTCCATGACAACCCCCACCCCCCCACCAAGCAAATCGGCGGGGACGGTGGTGTCCCTGTGGTCCCCATCCCTCGGCTTGCAAAACAGGCCCTAACCGTGTTCATCTTTCTTTCCATTTAGGGAGACCTCGGAGCTCTTGGTCCCACTGGAGTCCCCGGCCTTCTTGTGAGTACCGAAAAGCAGGCAATCCTTTTATCCCTTTTTTTTTTTTTTTTTTTTTGCAAGGGAAGAAGCCCTGAGCTCTGTCCAAAGAACAATAAAGCCACTATGCATTTATTTAGCTGCTGGGGTTAAGGAGGAGCCTGCTTCTCCTGCATCCGAGATTACCAACGGCAGGTGCTCAGCTCTCGTAAACAGAGACGAGGCTATATGACTCCCCTTTATTTGGGCTGCACCCCATTTGGCTGCAGTTGGGGGCTTCCTGGGGTAAATTTCCTTTTAGGTGGAGAAAATCCTTTGCTTCCCCCCCCCCCCAAAATCGGGGCTGGGACTCAGTCCGTAGCCCTCCTGCGAAGTCTTCCTTTGGGCAGGGATTGAATGTTTCATTTCTGACACTTGGTGAGTTGAAAACACACACACACACACACACACACACACACACACACATCCTGTTGTGTGGTCCAGTGTTGTATAAACAATGCTGCGTGTTGTTGTTTCCCCCCCCCCCCGAGGGGAGAGGGGGAGGGAGGCTGTCTGGAAGCAGATCTCTTGGTAGGAAAGTGGGGATGAAAAACCCGGAGAAGGGAAATTGCACATCATCAGCGCTTTCTGATAAAGGAGTTGAGTTGAGGTCTCCTAACGCGGAGAGATGGGAGAAAAAAAGTCACGTCCAGGCCCAAACTGGGCGACACAGGTTTTAACTGGAAACCTCATCAACGACAACAGGCTCCAGGTGTTCCTAAGACTCCTTGGCCCATTTCTAGGATCCACAACCTTCCCCGGATGAGCAGGTTGTAGGCCATCGTTTTGGATGGTTGAACATTAACGCAGTGGGTTTTAAGAGAGACGTGTCGTCTTACATGGATCAGGCCAGCCCTTTTCCCCCTGCCCCCTAACCCCCAGAAATGGTTCCTCCTGACCCGGGATTCTGATTCTAAACCCAACTCTCAAGAAAACAAACCCACCAGGACAAGATTCAGCCGTCCATCTGCATTTGAAAGACAAAAGGCCACTCTTTCGAAGACAGCAGAGTCCACAGTTTGGACAGAGAGGACCGCTGGTTTGAAAGAGGGGTCAAAGGGGACATCTGGGTCAAAATTGAACAGCCCTTTCTCAACGGGAGGATACAACATAATCTATCTCCAGTCTACAACCCCGTCCTTTCAGCAGTTCCAAGGAAGCTCCACACCCATTTGCACCACTCCGGTGACCCCAAGGACGCAGAGAAGCCTCCAAGTGGCCTCAACCACTCTCTAAAACAGGGGTAGGCAACCTTGGCTCTTTTATGACTCGTGGACTTCAACTCCCAGAATTCCTCAGCCAGTATGCCTGGATGAGGAATTCTGGGAGGTGAAGTCCACAAGTCATAAAAGAGCCAAGTTTGAAGACCCCTGCTCTGAAAGGATGCAAAGGACCGGCTGTCTGCAAGGAGTATAACTCCTTCCATTCTCCACCATCCAGACGGAGCTGAAGAAGCTTCTGGGATGAGAAGCGAAAGGTCTTCAAAGAAAAACGAGAAAGTCCAGTTGATGCTTTTGGCGTTAAACCTGTGGGACTTTGCAGCCTTGTTCCTACAGGGTAGATCCACAAAAGGTCCATTGCTTTTGTAGCGTGGGACAAGCTATACTCTTCCTAGGGTTTCCACCTCCAAACGATTTCTCCTAAAAAAAAAAAACGGGAAGACGTAGCTCTTGAAGGCACCAGAAGATGTTTCTGGCTATCTTCCAACCTAAACGTCCTCTCTCCCACCAGGGTGATGTAGGTGTCCTTGGAGAAATGGGCTTCCCGGGACCAAAAGGACTAAAGGTGAGCAGAAAAAGTCCTTTTTCTTGGTTGACTCCAGATCATCTCTGGGGAACTAGGAGGTAGGAGCACCGCAGGGGAGCGAAGGAGAACTTCAGGAGACTCAATGGTTTGAGCCACACCATAAATACATAAATAAATAAAATAGAGGGATAACATGAAGAGGAACAGCAAGGGAAATCCAGGGCTACTTTTAGCCAGGAGGACCTAAATTCCAAGGTCGCGCTTCCAAAATCCAGCCTACCAGCTTTAATTCTGGTTGTGTTCCAGGCCAGCTGCCTAGATCTCAACTTTCCCCATGATTAGGTGAAGTCTGCTCTCTTATAGGTTTGCTTGCCTTTCCTGTCCAGATAAGGGCTTCCAGAAGGAAGACTATATGAGATTCTTGATCTTTTCTTTTCTTTTTTTTTAAATCAGGGGTTGATGGGAAATCCAGGAGAACATGGACTGAAAGGTGATAAGGTGATCTGAATATTCCCTTATTGTTTGTTGTGATTTCTTTGCATGCAAAAGCTTGTTGTCATCCCATACTCCTGTTCTTCTCTTCTCTTCTCTTCTCTTCTCTTCTCTTCTCTTCTCTTCTTTCCCTTCCGTTCCCTTCTGTTCCCTTCCCTTCCCTCAATGCCACCAAGCCATTCTAATGCTTGATTTCTCCTTCCCCTTCCCTTCTCTTCTCTTCTCTTCTCTTCTCTTCTCTTCTCTTCTCTTCCTCTTCTCTTCCTCTTCTCTTCCTCTTCTCTCTTCTACTCTACTCTACTCTACTCTACTCTACTCTACTCTACTCTACTCTACTCTACTCCCCTCTCTCCCCTCCCTCCTCTCCCCTTTCCTCAACATTGCAAATGGCTTTGATCCTCCTTCTCCCCCTTCTCCCTCCTCCTCCTCCTCCTCCTCCTCCTCCTCCTCCTCCTCCTCCTCCTCCCCCCCTTTAATTGTCCCCACTTTCTTTCCAAAGCTATAGCATGGATCTGCAAGTTTTCTACAACTAATACCCTCCTGACTGTTCAACAACAGTTGGTGGCAAAAAAAAGTGATGGGGGGGGGACAGAATTTTGGGGAGAAACCTGAGGTTTACCTCTACAGATGCACCTACTTGTTAAGTGGCTTCTGTGGTTGTGGCCGATCAGACAAGTACAAACCCCGTGGTGGTCAACAGAGTATCAACCTCTGGGTTGGAGCAAGCTCAAGATCCTCAGGATAGATAGAAGTTCTCAGGATACATGAAGGCCTTCTGGAACCCCCTTTGCTTTTGGTTTCCAACCCAATTGGGTTGGAACTGCCTCCTCTGTTTTCAGTTCAGTACCACTCTTGCAAGCAATAACAACACGGATGGTGTTGTACAATATTTTAAGCCCCGATTTGATGAGTATCCATATTGACCGAGTGCATGCATAACACGAATCCATAAATCAGCATGTACAAATCATGGCTGAAGAAGTTTAAGCCTTTAACATGTAGTTGAAACCCTTCCTTTAGAATTACTCTCCCAGCTATGGTCAAGGCAATCCATGGATTTGAAGCCAACTAAGCGGAGGACAAGGTGGTCTTTGGTTGGACCGACCCCTGAGGTGGCCTTCAGCTTCAGCTGCACTGAAAATGGGTCTAAGATCTCAGACTTGTTTCCATTAATTGGGGTGCTTCAAAGAGATATTAAACTTCAGAACTCTTTTGCAGCTTTGGGCTGATCTAGAAGTTCTTATAAATCCTGTCCACACTGCATCTTTCACGGTTGTGTGTTTTTGAGGATAAATAACTTCCGTAAGTTCCATTCTTCCCAGCTAGTCAACAACCTCCACCTTCGTTTAGTTGGGCAAGATTAATTATACCTGTTAATTGTCCAATCATCTAAATTCGCTAGGCAACACGTTCCGAAGGAATGCCCCTCAGCCCACAGCTATCCTAGACATGCTCTAATTTTGTTTTTTTGCCACCAATCCTAGTTGTGGAACAGTCTGGAAAAAAAAAAATACTCCGTTCTCCTTCGTCCTCTAAAATCCCTCTTGAACCCTGGACATGTGTTGTGTTCTTTGTGTGATATTTGTTGTAACTTTCTTTGGTGATGTACATCCAGGGTGAGGAAGGGATGGCAGGCATTCCTGGAGAAATTGGTTTCCAAGGGGACAAGGTAAATTCAATGATCTTCCTCTCTCTCTCTCTCTCTCTCTCCCTCCCTCCTCTCCTCTCTCTCTTTCTCTCTCTTCTCACTCCTCTCTCCTCTCTTCCTCTCTCTCCTCTCTCTCTTCTCTCTCCTCTTCTCTCTCTTCTCTCTCTCCTCTCTTTCTTCTCTCTCCTCTCTCTCTCTGTTCTCTCTCCTCTCTCTCTTCTCTCTCTCTCTCTCTCTCTCTCTCTCTCTCTCTCTCTCTTCTGACAAGCAAAGTCAACAGGAAAAATGAGATTCACAACAACTGTGCTACTAGTTTAACAACTGCAGTGATTCCCTTAACAACCGTACCAAGAAAGGCTGTAATTCACTTAACAAATGTATTTGGCCTCAATTGCGATCCTAAGTCAAGCACTTCCTGTATTTCTTGATATGGCAGTTTCTGGCGGATACAGATATTTTTATTGACTAATTGTAAAGAGAGGAGCATTTCACCATACCATAGAAGCAGCTAGAAGTGTTCCCTTCATAGACTCAGTTGCTGTTGTCCTTTTGCTTCCCTTTCCTTCATTAACAAATTCTATTCTATTTATTTTGAAACTGCACGGGCTAGTAATTCTCCAGAGTCAGGAGATATCTTTCCCAGAATCTGCTACCAGACAGGATTCGTACTGTCGTGTGGTCGAGTGCCAATTTTTCTGAGCATATAACTCCATGGAAGTGATGCTTGACTAGATAATCCCATGTTGGTTAAGAGTATATCGGAACCAAGTTAATTTCTTGGACTAGCTCATCTAGGTGGCTGTATCCATTCTGAACATTTCTGCTCCCCGTTTCAGGGTAGCCACGGATTGCCCGGGATACCTGGATTACGAGGAAAACCAGGCAGAATGGTAAGTAATTGTTTGAGTTTCCCGCAGGGAGCTCGTTGTATTGGTTAGAGCGAGGAGAAGAACATTGTGGTCCTTCAGATCTTTCTTGGATGCAATTCCTATCAACCATTATTACAGCCAATGGAGAGGAAAGTTGTAAATCAGCCCAGAAGCAGGACATCCTTTCCCACTTTAAAAAAACCAATTGTCCTCTTGAATCTCCTTAAAAAATGTTTTCATAAAACATTTGAAGGACCACACGGGTTGGAAGATCTAGTGAAGTCTGGGCTCAAATTTCTGTTTGGCCATAAAGTTCCTGGGTTAAACCTTGGATTGTTGTGAGAAAGACAAGTAAGGAGAGAAGAATTGGGAGAACTTGGTCAGACCCATGGAGAAAAAGAGGTCATAAGTGCATTTAGGTTCATTAGCAAAGACGTTGCAACATGTCTGGAAAAAAAAATGGAAATAAATTCTGGCTAATACCCATAACTGTTTTGTTGAAAGCAAAAAGATTTTGGATCTTCTTGAAGTAAGTTGAGATGGTGGGCTGGGACTGGGACAGCCCATGTTCAAGTCTACGGAACCTCATAGATGATCATGTGGTGATATTGGGTTAGTCATCAATCCCACAGGATGTTAAGTTAGAGGAAACTAAATAGGGAGTGGTTTGTTGGTTGCCTTGATCATCTGGAGAAGATATAGAATGGAATCGAATGAATGAATGAATGAATGAATGAATGAATGAATGAATGAATGAACGAACGAACTAGCATGGCCAATGGAAAACTAGGAGGTGGTTAACAACATCTGGAGATGTTATCTTCCATATTCCTCCCTGGCTAGTTTAGGTCACCCTCAGTGGTCATCCATGCGTTTCGTTTCTTGCAGGGAAGAGTTGGTGACAAAGGTGCAGATGGAATTCCAGGTCCACCTGGCCCAGAGGTAGGTTCTGCCTACAATTTGGCTTCTCCCTTTAAGGATCTGTATTGTTTAGAGACGTACAAAATATTTCAAGGCTGAGATATTGCCAGTTCTGAATATTCCATTTGAAAGGCGCCGTTGGAGGGATGCTGAAAGTAGGATATTGTCAAGATTCCGACTAACGGATCCAAGAAAGCAAGCACAGCTGAGGCGATCCAGTTTCTTAACGCCAAACATTATTGAGTACAGCATATCGGCACAGATGAGTGGATCGTCTGTTGGGTTGTTAGTCGGAACCTTGACATTAAACCAGCTCTCATAAAATAAAATTTAATCAGAGCAGAATAGAATACAGCTGGAAGGGACCTTGGAGGTCTTCTAGTCTAGCCCCCTGCTCAAGCAGGAGAACCTATACCATTATGGAGTCCTGTGCTGACTCCAGAGGGGAAGATCCCAAGAAGGAGTGAGTAGGCGAGCAACCAACCAAATTCGGGATGGGGTCAATGGAGGCGACCCCAATCAGAGTCCGGGATGTGTGTGTCTCAGTGTCCAAATAGCCAGGACCCATCCCAAAGTGAAGACGGAGAAAACGGAGATAACTTTGACAAGTGTTTTGAAATATTTACACCCCATTCTTTTTCATCACGCTAACTGCATGGAAATCCTTCACTTTGTGATTGAGCATCTCCTGCTAATCCAGCCACTTCTCAAAGGTGAAATATTTCTGCTTTATCACGCTTCTCTTCTGTCTAAGAGCAATCCTTTTTTTTAAAAAAAGCTTCATTTCTAGAACACTTAAGTTACTCTTGGAACCTGTTTTCAGTAACCCCTTACTTCCCAATCTCCCAAGCAGAGGCCCATGAATGCATGTCTGAATCCAGACAAACTAAGTTGGAAATTAGGGATGCTGGAAGTCTTCCCAGGCTGGCCTAACCCATCACGCTAATTGCATACAAGTTCTTCAGTTTGAGATTTAGCAACTTCTGCTAAGCCAGCCAGTTCTGGCTTATTCAGCAAAATATGATGAAAACCGTGGCTTAACGCAGCCGATCAAGCCAGCTAATTCACAACGCAGTGGCAACTTCCCAAGTGGGCTTCGTAGCGTTGTGTCATGGCTATCTTACTCACGGGTAAAATACCTCAAATGTCCTAAAATCAAGGCCAGGTCAATTCTTGGCAGCGCCTCCAAGTGGGATGGGGGGGGGGGGGGAAAACCACAGAGAATTAACAATATCTGAGGTAGATGGTCAAAGGATCCAACTCCGCAGACAGTTCTTTCCAAGAATAATGTTTTGTGAATACCAAATTCCATCAAAAGGAAGCCAGGACTATTTAAGTACTTGGACCCTGTCACGATGGTTAAAGTAACATCCTATAAACTTGGCAAGAAAGGTGAGGGAGAAGAATAGGAGAAGGAATTGGTTGGCCTCCATCAATTACGCACAGAAAAAAAAGCAACAAAAACCACATTTGCGTACTATTCTAGTCAAAATAAGAGTTTGGAGAACTGGTGAGGAGATGCTTGGAAAGAGCTACAGTGAATGAACAATCCTTTTTGGCAGGGCTGTTTTATTGTTTCGCTTCCCACCCCCCCTGCTTATCAGCTTGTCTAATAACTGTGAAAGGTCAGGATGAAGTTCAATCAAAAGCTAGTTTTTTGTTTTTTTTTTTTTTTTTAAATCCCTCTTTTTTTCTGACAGAAAGAACCAATTTTGTTTGTTTGTTTCTCTGGGGATCGCTCAGTTAACTTGGGAGTTTTCGATTTTGTTAGCCAGATATTGATAAACTTTTTAAGCGAGAGGGAGAAGCCCTGTGCGTTGGATTTAACTATATAAGTACAACGTTTTTATTCATGGTGTAACAAAAAGAGGACATGGGCTGCGACGTTTGTCTATATCTGGTTTAAAGTACTCTCTGTTGCTTTTTAGTTGTATTTACAAATAGATCTGTAATGGAAAATTCTGTTCGTCAAATTCTCGGCCAGCATAGTTTTTTTTGTCACCCATGAAAGACCAGGTTAGCGATAGATTGTCACGGAATAAATCTATTTATACATTCACTGAGAATTGACAATGATTTGATGACATCATTCATCAATTGTGTGCTGTAAATGCTAGGGATTATAGCCTCGGGACATCTGAAGGTGGCCACTGGAGATGGCTATAAAAACTCTGGAACTTGGAGTTTGATCAACGGTCTGAAGAAAGTTCTCCACTGCATGATTAATATGAGGAAGTCCCAACCTAGACCCAGATAGCTTTCTAAATTATGGAGCCTTGCATTGGTCAAGGGCTTGAGAACATAGCTCAATTTTTTTCAAGCCATGGAAGCTGTCAGTTAAAAAAAAAAAAGAACAATTCCTGGAGTTCCTGGTCAAGAAGCAAAGCTCAAGTGATAGAAAATTAGCTGTGCCGGAGCGAACTCGGTCATGATCCATCAGCTTCTCGTGGAATCTGAGGTTCAGCAGAACATGGTTTGAAGAGAGCAAAGACTAGGGATAAAAGTTGGGTGTCTTCTTGGAGCTTTAGGAGAAGGGAGGTGGTTCAGCTCAGCCCAGCCTTTCCGGTTCCTAAAGAAAGATCCGTGTCTAGTTTGGAAGATTGCTGAAGACCATCTTCGTTGCTCTTCTTCACTCATCTCCTCCGTGAGACCTCTGGTGTTTTACCAAGGCTTGGACGAGCTCTTGGTTGGATTGCCTTCATTTAGTCATCCTTCTTTGGACTGGACTGTGCCTCCCTTTGTTTTGTGAGCTGAATGGACTGTGGGCGGAAAAAAAATGGGTAGGCGTCCAGCATCATGTGGTCTGCTAAGCAGCATGTCGTCACCTTTCCCTTCATCCGTGCCAAGCTTGCTTCTCGCTTCTGTCGGGATTCCTGATTTATATCCCTGGGAAAAAAAAATGCGGTTGAAGCGGCCTGCTCAGAAATTCATGGAGAACCACACTGGGCTACAGCGGCAACGTTTGCTGACCCCACGCACAACCTGGGGTGGAGGGCCAAGACAAATTGTAATCTGCAACACTTCGCTTTCCTGCAGTGACCTCGTCATGCAGCTTTCTCCCTTTAGACCCCCTCCCCATCGGTTCACACCGCAGTGAAACCCGTGTACAATGTCCGCACGGTGAAAAGCCGTATCTGGTTCTGCCTCTGCTTTTCCAGGTCTCTGTTTCTGCTTCTCCGGGACAATCTGCCCCCAAGGTGGTCCTTCAGACCTTCCAACAGTGCAAAAAATAATGGACTTCATCGACCTGACTTTTGGGTCTCCCAAAGGTGTTTTTTTCAGGAGGCAACTGAACTTCCTTGTTTTTCTTTGAAGACGTTTCGCTTCTCATCCAAGAAGCTTCTTCAGGT